AGCTAAATAACACTATGTACTTTTGAGTTTATGCTGTGATTCAATATAAACCAAGAGCTTTTTATAACTGGACTAGAGATGTCTCTCTGACAAAGGTTTCCATCATTTGTACACAAGGTAATGGAATTAGATATTGGTTGAAAGTTTATTAACATGTAGGAGTGATGGAATTTATGGGATCTCAGTGTGCATGAATTTTTTAGAAAGAAGTTGATATAGATCCCAAATCTAGATCTTAACGAAGATTACCAGAATATACTGTAATGTAAAGTAATTACATACATTGTATGTTATTTTATATTCCTGACGTTTAGTGCTTAAAATTACTCAATATCTTCCACATTTATTGTGTTTGATAGGTTGTCTCGGTCGACTAGCACAGAATATAAAACTACTTGTCATCTCTGTTACTGCACATGATGTCTATTGTAAGGAAACATCACTGAAATAGTACATCGAATCCTCTATTTTTCCCTTTAATTCTTCTCATTCATTTACATTAAGAATCTCAAAATGAATCACAGGATGCATTTTCCTTGTGAAATTTATATAAACGAAAGACTGCAAGGAGTAATACTCAATTGCCAACAGCGCAAGGATACCATCTAATAGTAATTTTAGTTTAAATAATGCTGTAATAAATTTATTTCTAAATATTCAAAATAATTATTTCACGTCAAAGATATCAAAAAAATGATTAAGTTTCCTTATTATATTCAATATTAACCCAGTAAACAATAAATTCCATGGAAATTGTTGTTACTATCCACAGAGAATAGTGTTACATACATTAAAAAAACAAAACAAAAAAGAGGTTTTTTGATTTAGTTTGTTAGAAATTTTTACTTGGTCTGGTTTAAAATGCATGTTAAACTTAAATATAATTGATTATGGTTTTATATTTGCAGACAGCCTATTTGATTTTTATTATGAATGTGTTAATAATAAAAAGTTATGTGTAAGAATCATAAAACTGAATCACTTTAACTTATGTTTCTTTTTGAATTTTCTATTAATACCTCTTCAGTCTGAATTAGATGTAGTAATAATACTATTCTTTTTTCGAGTTTGCATTAATCAAATTGTCAAATGTTAGCCTATGTGCAAAAATCTTGTACATATTTAGTAGAATGAGTCAATCTACTCATTAGTAATATGAAAGTTTACTGAAATTATATTCTTTCAAGCCAACATAACCTTGGAACTCAATCCATGAATCATTTAAATTCACTTGGTGTTGTTTAACTTGTATCTTCTCATTGTTATTTAAGATTGTAATTGGTCAGTCTCTTGTTAGCATGTGTGCATCCTATGCGGATTGCTTCGATATAGCCTTAAGTCGCAAGCTTTTTAAGCAAAGATGGATAGTGGCTAGCAGGGGAATTCAGAAAGCGCGTTTCGTCCTATTTGTGGCTTGCCAGCTGGATGTGCTTGCATCCCAGAGTTTGTGTTCACTCCAGGACTCGAATCGGAAGACACAAGTCAAACAACACCAAGTGAATTTAAACTTCACCGCATTGCACAAGCAGGTGGCTATCAGGACTCAGTAGCTGCGTGGATAACGCGATGGTGTTGGAAGCGAATGGGACTGGATTCGAGTCCCGGAGTGAGCCTCAACTCTGGAATGCGGGCACACCCAGATGACAAGTCCCAAATAAGACGAAGCGCGCTTTCTGGATTCAACTTCTAGCCACTATCCATCATGAATCATTTGTTGGAAAATTAGTTCTTTAAAGAAATTACTTATAAAAAATGGGTGGTTTAAATGATTACCAGTATAATTTTTTCAAAAGACCGTTCAATGAATGCTAAAATAATTATAACATATATATCTGTATTTATGACCGATATCATTTACTCATCTGAATCATACTGACGGTTCGATGACTTACTCTATTGAAGATTTAAAAGTTATAAAACCTAACTAAGTATATTTGTTGTTGGAACAGTGAAAAAATTAATTTAATAATGTCAATCAAAGGATTATTCTTTTTTAAGAGTTAGTAGTCTATCCTGTTGAATTGTGCTAAATAAACAATAAGTAAGCAAATGTAAATCATTATTATTATTATTTACATAAACAGTTCAAAACATTGAGTTCAGTGGGTATACTTTATCTCTTCAATAAAACGAATCTAAGGTCAGTCAAAAATAGATTACTATCTTGTTAAATTCTATAAGTAAGTTCACAACTAACAATTATACTTGTGTCTTCAGTAACAAGAGATATTAAAATGCATGCGAAAGGTGTCCTTTTTAACTATACGAAGACTGCATATTATCTGCAATATTTACAACCGAACTTTGAAGAATTGGTGGCCTTCATAGAAGAAGAGACCAGGGTTGCCCAAATACGTTATGGTAGACTGGCACAACGTCGTTCAAAATCTGGTAAGAGGAGTTATGAAAACCAAGTTAACAGGAGAACCCGCTCTGAAGCAGTTAGGCATGATATAAGCAACTCAGCTAAGTTTGCAAGTTACGAGTTTTGTCTGAGTGATCACGTATTGTGACATACTGTACAGAGTTATCGAAAATGAGTGTTAGAGAAAGGTGATAAGAAGTAAGGAGCTGTAGTCTATGTTTTCTGTGTTTCATAAAGGGTTACATAGTTAGATCATGTAACTCGGGTTTATATTGTGACGTTGAGAACTGCAAGATTAAACATGATTTAGCGCTGTGTATTGACGGCAATAATAACCATGTAGTGTGTTTAGTTTAGGATTGGATCTCATCGAAGGTTTATTTGAGCATTATTCATATCCAGCTGTATAGTCCTGTAGGGCCAGTAAAATGTACTAAGCCCTAGCCAAATCACCCGGCAGTTGGGTCATTGAATATCGAGCAAATCATCGATCCTCGTCAAGGTCAGGGACAACCAACGCGCATCAGTTAATCGTATGCCATGGACTGGCCCATGCGGCAATGATCTTAATTTCGCTTGTATCTACTTTAACTAATATATTTCTGTAATAACGTCCTCTGTGTTGTACAGTCTTCAGAGCATCTATGGTACCTTGATACGTAGTTCACGTAAGGAGCTGACCACGAGGTGTGACTTCGATGTTAGCCAGTTTGTCACACCATTCACTTCTAACTCGAGTAGGCCTACAATCATGAATTGTTCGAGTGCATGTTCAGAATCTTAAGCTTGGAGAACAGGCTGTCCTAATATCTATAAAGACAGATTTCGTGAAAGAAAATTTTACACTTCTCTCACATCATTCGAACTTGAACCTTGTTAAGAATATTTGTGTTTATGAAATAACTGAGGATCATATTTGCTGGTATTCTGCTATATGTTGAAGCACATGGCTCTAAAGAAATTTTTAGTCGCTTGCTTATTATTACTTACTTACTTTAGCCTGTTGCTCCCTATGGAGTGTAGGCTACCGACCAGCATTCTCCAACACACACTGTCCTGGGCATTCCTTTCTAGTTCTATCCAATTTTTGTTCATTCTTCTCATGTCTGTCTCCATTTCCCGGCGTAATGTGTTCTTTCGTCTTCCTCTTTTCCTTTGGCCTTGAGGATTCCAATTGAGGGCTTGCCTTCTGATGCATTTGAGTGTTTTCCTCAATGTGTGTCCTATCCACTTCCAGCGCTTCTTCCTGATTTCTTCCTCCACTGGGTCTGGCTTTTTCTCTACCACAGTAGGTTGTCGCTAATAGTGTCTGGTCAACGGATCCGAAGTATTTTACCTAGACAGCTGTTAATAAACACCTGTATCTTCTGGTTGGTGGCTTTTGTAGTTCTCTAGGTTTCCACCCCATATAGTAGAACTGCCTTGAAAATTCTGAGATTGATGTTGGTTGACAGTTGTTTTGAGTTCCAGATGTTCTTCAGTTGTAGATATGCTGCTCTTGCCTTGCCGATCCGCGCCTTCACATCTGCATTAGACCCACCGTGCGCATCAGTGGTGCTGCTCATATATGTTAAGGTCTTTACATCCTCTAAACTTTCTCCGTCAAGTGTGATTTGATTGGTGCACGTTTTGTCCTATCGGAGAATCTTGCTTTTCCCCCAGATGCTGACACCTTCATGATCCAGTTGATCATCGGGAGAAAGAGGAAGAGTGAGAGTAAGCAACCTTGCCTGACACCGGTCTTTACCTCGAACGAGTTTGTCAGCCGTTTAATCCATCATAGGAATTCCGTATGATGTTGACTATCTTCTCAGGCGCTCAGTAGTGTAAAAGAAGCCTCCATAGTGTTGTTCTGTCTACGCTCTCAAATTCTTTTTCATAGTCAATGAAGAGTGATGAATTCCATTCAATTGATTCTCCCACAATGATCCGTAGAGTTGCGATTTGGTCTGCACACGACCGATCCGTACGGAATCCAGCCTGTTAATCTCGAAGTTGGACTTCTACGGAATCCTTCATTCTATTTAGCAACACACTGTTGAAGACTTTACCCGACATTAAGGGAAGAGCGACGCCTCTGTAGTTCTCACATTTGCTGAGATCGCCTTTCTTTTGTATCTTGATCAGGTCTCCTTCTTTCTAGTCTGTTGATACTTGTTCTTCATCCCAATTCTTGCTGAAAATAATGTTGAGTGTCTTTGCCGTTACTGCCACGTCTGCTTTCAGTGCATATGCTGGAATGTTGACTGGTCCCGCTGCTTTGCCGCTCTTGATTTGTCCGATGGCCATGCTGATCTCTTCAATTGTTGGTGGGTCCGTGAGTGCTACTTCGATGTTGGGTGTGTTCAACGGGGCTGGTCGATTCATGAGTTCCTTGAAGTGCTCTACCCACCTGTTTTATTGTTCTTCAATTCTGTTGATTACATTGATTCCTTTGCTTTTCACTGGTCGTTTCGGTTTACAATAATTTCCAGTGAGCTTCTTTGTTGCATCATACGATTCTCTCATGTTTCCTTCTCTTGCAGCTTTTTCCACCGTCATCGCTAGATCTTCTACGTATTTAAGTTTGTCGGTTCTGATGTTCCTCTACTTGTTTGCTTCTGTGTATTCAGCTTGCTTCTGATACATGAGAATTAAAGCAACCAAGGTCACGGGTTTGTTAGCGGGTAGTTTGTGTGCTCAGTTTGTATGCTGCTTCGGGAGGTTGCTATTCTTTGTTTGTGTGATGGAGGAGTAATTTAACCTCTATTTAGCTTAGGTATGACGTTTCGCAAGCTTATTTAATTTCTGGCGACTTGCTTTCCCAAACATATTGTGTTTTGTGCTTTAAAATCAACTAGTTTGGTTTTCACTAGTGTTTGGCTTATTCGGAGTCGATTTTAAATCAATGAGGATTAATTAAATATATTTTTTGTAAGGTGGGCTGATTTTTCTTCAATGGTGGTAGCAAGGCTATGGGTCGACATTAGAGTGAAAGTTATATATGCCCAAGCTCCCAATTTCGGGGAAAATTTGGCACATTTTGGGGAAGCCGCTATAGTAAATTTAGGGGAAATGGCACAGAAACCCCAAAATTGGAAGCTCAGGTGGACTCACTGACAGCTGGCTCTATTTATTCTCAGTATTTAAAAGTAAGGATGGGATCTCAAACGATGTGTTAATCTTCGTGGTTCATAATGTTAGGAAGGTCTAGTCTGGTTTTGGACATACCTGTAGGTGGTGCTAATACTTCGTTTTCCTTTTTAGAGTTCGAATAATTTACTACTCGGCACAAGAAGCAAAACTCTATATGCGTATAGTTTGATCTCGGTTTTTGAGATCCATTTCCAATTTCCAGCTCTAGATGAAAGGAAAGGATTTACTAATATAATCAAGTATTTCAAAAGGGGCTTGGTCTCCAGATGTGTTGTTAACTAGCCTTACTTTTGCTCGTTTGCGGCATCAAAATCATATTTGCCCAACTTTTACATAAATTGTTTCAGTTAAAGTTCATGTTCTTTAAATCAAACTCGTTTCTGTGGTTCGCCTTATCTGCCTGTTCTTTATACCTGCTAGGTTGTGTGTTTTTGTCGTTCTTCGTATGCGCTTACTAGACTTCATGATTTTACTTCCTAGTTCTAATTTTTTATGTGAGGATTAAATTTATATGTAAGTCTTGTCTGCAATGGTCGGCCGTACTTATCAGTGTAGATTCCTTCTTCTCTGTTAAGAAAGGAATGCAATATGATGGATTTAGTGAATAGTTATGCCTGCTTCGGCGTAGGTCGCCGGGTAGTATTCCAGCCCTCACACAAATCGAATGACAAAGCGTGACGCATACATATTTGATGCCTCCTTATACCAATGTCTATCTTTAGATAAATAAATAAAGTAAACAAATAGTTATGCAAGGTATCTTTCCGCTTTACACTCACTACATATGAGTGATGTTAGAAGCCTTACTCTCATTGGCTTCGCCGTTAGGGTGGGACGTCACTGATCCAGGAGGTGATTGCGCTTCTTGCGTTAGTGAAAAAGAAAGTCGACCGTAGTGGTACTGGAGATTAGGGTACCGACAATAGAGAGTATATTGGTCATAAGTGGAACTACTGGAAGAGCTAAGCACAACTGGAAAACGTGAAAAGGCGAGAAGTCATTAGCAAAGTACTCAAAGAGTGGAATTCCGGATGGTGGACCACTTATTCGTGAAGTTGATTCTTAAGTCATTTTATCCAAAGACCCAAATAGAACTGTCGCCAATTCAAAATGTCATGATATGAAATTCTCATATGAGGGTGAACGGAAATCGGTACGAAGTTAGAGCAGAAAAAAGCCATCCTCACCACCAGATTACCACCTCTGGTTGGTAAGATGTCTTTGGGCAGCTCCCATTTTGAGTAACTTAAGGAATAATGGGTGCTTTCATTAGTTTGATTTATTTTTGTTAGTAATGAGAGTTAGTGGTTAGTTAAGTATCTCTAGACTCCATTATTTTAGTGATTGGATATAGTATTTGGAACACAACCATTCTATTGTTTGCTTCCGTTTCATTTTAAACTTCTTTCTGAAGACTAAGTTGTAAAGATACAAAAGTTTATAAACATCTCTACACATCCTTTCCACTTTATTAAATATTTCGTAGATTGTGAAACTATGCGAGATTGTCACAGTGATTAAACACTTGCTCCCCGTAGTGATACGTTTTATTAAACCACGCTGTGTTGATGTAACCAAATACTTTTTTCATCAGTGTTGCCATTCAAGTTTCTTACTTTTGTCAGTTTCAGTCTTGGATTAAGGAGCTGTTGTCCTTTGATAGATAGACCAGTAAAGTTGTTCGCAGAAGTGCTCTAATTAGTCTCTTAATTTTTAGGTTTGAATTTTACATATCCGCCTATCCGGATCTAATCCTATCGCATACTAACGCGTTTTTAACCAGTTTTAACTTCTTATACTATCCAAGTCAATTATGAGCTCGTATTCGTCTCCGCGAACCGTTAATGATGCAGACAGTGATATGGACTTTTCCATTTATTCGCCTAGTAGCGAGTTTGATTTGGATTTCACGTTCAGATCTTTAAAGAAAGGAGCTTATAATAAGGAAGAAGATTTAAATCGTAAGTCAAAATGATAGCTAGGTCTTCTTATTGGGAAGTTGAAGTTTCTTGCATTTTTAACACTGGTAAATATTTCAGACAGTATAGTTAATATCTTATTTAAATAATAGCATTTTGTTCACTTTGTAAGATTCAAGTTTATCACTTGTTAATCGTCAGTGGAGGCTTATGCACTACTTAATACTTTCCCGTTGAACAATTACAGGGCAGTTAAAGCTTAACAGCAAGGCTTTAGGAAGATTGACTCCAGGTCATTTCAATCGTCATCTTCAGCCACCTCACTTCCTTCCAGTTTGGATGCAATTTCCTATTCTCTGTATTCAAATTTTTCCGATTTACTACACAATATCTTAGTTTCAAAGATTATGAAAATTGTCTCTCGCTTATATTTGCTTAATAACAATTTAAATAAAGACAGGATTTCGTTAAATAGCTGTTCATGCTAAGAAGAACTACCATGGATTACGATGCGTTTTGACAGCATAAATCATGCAAAATGTAAATTTGTAACTGCTTCAGTTGTAATTAACCTGAAGGGACGCGAATATTTAAATATTCTTGTGTCACTATGATTTATCATACGCTTAATCATCAGCCATTGGTAACTAACTTTTCGATATGCAGATTCCTCCTTTGTTAATATTAACTGTTGCTGATTTCATGAGTCTGTATACCTTTAGTTAGGTCAGTTTTAACTTTCCGCGTTTGCTAACACCACTGTCCGAAACAGAAGGATGGCAGAGGTACGTGAAGAATTCCTTAGTGATGTTAATTAGTACTTGGAACTGTTATTGCTTATATGAATAGATTCATGGACTGGGATCCCTCTTCTCTCTGCTTAAACCCAATGATATCTCTGTTAATTATGTGAAACATGCGCATCAAAATATTACTTTTTTAATCACGGGTTTTGGGTTTAAGGTAGTTTACATATAGCAATGTCCTTGATAACCAATAAAGATAAATATGAAAGATTTTACAGACCAACAGAGGATATTAAGCAGCAACTGGTGTATGAGATTGAGAAAATACGGGGAAACAAAGGCTTGGAGGGGAAGAACAATTTAGCCTCAAAAATGCCGGTGAAAGTGATCAAAACCGACATTTCTGACTCATCTAGTATTGACTGTTTGAATATCCCCACTGACGTTTGGGACTACGATTGATCAGTTGAGTGGATAACGTGATAACGTCTGAAGTGAATGGTACTGGGTTTGAGTACTGGGGCGAACGTCAACTCGGATGCAGGCACATCTATCTGATGAATCCCAGAAAGGATGAAACGCGCGTCCTGGATTTCACTGCTAACCACCATCCATTTCTGTTCATAATGGCATTCTTAACACGTATTTTTGCTGAACAATTTTCGATGCGTCTACGATCCCGTTAAAGAAACATGTATACATGTGTCAGTAGGAAATAACCCGACAGGTTTATACAACGTCTTGATCTGGATATTCGAGGCTTTATCCGTCTTGTTTTTACTCTATTTAATGCACATGAAAGTTAGAAATGATTTTAGACGCATATCTGAATCATCAGTTAATAAGGCTTGATTTTTTCTTTAAGTTTCTTAAGTAAAGCTCAAGATACGAGTTTTTTTACTATCATCACTCGTGTATCACTCATAGAATGTGGTTTCTGTTAATGAACATGGTTAAACAACAAAGATCTGTTTTACTGAATAATATTCGTATTATTAGGTTGTCGGTAGATTTTTTTGAATTTGACACTGATATACATGAAATCTTCATCCGAAAGTTCGCTTTTAAATTATCCTTCCGTCTAACGATGAATTGTAAACATATATTCATCACCAAGCGATTTTTACCCATCGTTCCCTATTTTGATTTAGTTTTATGTGATGGAACGTAGGTAGTTTACGCATTGGATTTAACTGTTTGAGATGTTTTTTTTTCACATCATGTTAACCTTTTCGTTTCCATCTACCAAATGTATTGTTTCTTTTTGATTCAGGTAAACATTTCAACTCACCGGAATCATTACTCGTTTTAACAGCCAAAGCAATCGCTCTACACTTCCCATTTGAGGTTGTTGAATCCAGTCCGGTTACTGTGCCAGAAGAATTGCAAAGACTTATAGCCTTTCATAGCTTTCCAACTGATGAAGATGATATATGGTTGTATTCCTGTCTTAGCAGTGGGAGTTCATACGAATTTGATCAAGGTGAAGCATTGTGGGCTGATAAAGCTGTTAAAGAGTGTGTTCAAATCGGTACGTAAATATGGTAGCTTTTGGAGATAAAGATTATTAGCTTGGTTTGGATATTAAATTTCTTATTGGTCCTACATATGTTTATAATTGATTCGAGATATCGTTTTTTTATCGTAGACAATTATTTAAAATTTCCAGAAGACAGCAATTAAAGAGCTTAAATCTAACTTTTGTATTCAAAAAGTCATTAGTGGACTTTCACTTGCCCTGATAACATTTTGACTCCTTTCGGTTTGGGTGCCCGGGCAGTATTCCAGCCCTCACACAAATCGAATGACAAAGTGTGACGTATATATATTTGTTGCCTCTTCATACCAAAGTTTATGTTTTTAAATAAATAAATAAATAGAAATAAGACCCTTTAACTAATTTTAGTCATAATATTGTGAGCTAAGCTTACACATCCTCTCCTCCTTTATGGACTTCCATTATTGTGCAATAAAGTAATCTTAATATACTTGAACCTTAAAAAACCATAAAAAACCTCTATTAAAACAATTTTTAACATTTTCTCACTGCACGCGACTTATTTGCTATGGATTAATAATCCATTTTCTAACATTATATTCTTTATTGGAAATAGTTAAACATATTAGTTGTATGTAGCTAAAGAAAAAGAAATCAAATACAATGAATTGTTCGTATTCTACAATTATTGTTATCCTTTTTTGTCTAAGTTATTTTTCATTTTGTTTGAGTGACTTTATTTTGACCAAGTTACACATGCCAGTTGTTTGATGTGTGGGAAATTTTGTTTGTTCAATTTTAATATTTTTATTCCTTTTTTTGGTTTGTTCTGATCAGGATTTCATCTGAGCGCAACTGTATTGACAAGTCTTCATATTGCACCTGCTTTTGTACCTTCAGCGAATAATGAGGAGAATGGTACAAATAATAATAACAATAATAATAATAATAATAATAATAATAATAATAATAATAATCCTAGTTCCATTGGTCATTTCATTCCATATGTTATCAATCCTAATCCAAATGATGCACATCGTGGACAGTCGAATTTTGAAAATTTTGGGACTGCAAATGAAAGTGCTGTCAATAACACTAATAATAATAGTAACAATAATAGATTACGAAAACGTGGAATTAATATTGAGCCTGATTATCCTGCTCATCGAGTTTCATTGACATTCGATCGACAGAGAATAACTTCATGCTCATGCACGTGTACTTTCGGTTTAGAGGAAAGATGTACAGCTGTTGCATCACCTTCAAATTTTGGAGATAATAATATGATAAATTTAGACTCCACAGAAAACGTTAGTAATTCTATCAAATCAAATTCGTTTGCCTATCAACCAATGACTGGAACAGAACCAAATTCTGGAACTCTGTGGCAATTTGGTGCTAGAAATAGATCAATTTTTACAAATTCTCATATCAACTCACGCCAAATATCTAGTCAACTTAATAGTTATTTTCCAAATAGTAATTGTTTATCAAAAAATTCATGTAATCAAACATCTCCCAACAGTCGTCGTTCTTGGTTGTTTAATCAACATATTGTAAATCAAAATAACATACGTAATGATTTAATGCCGACAAATGGGCAAAATCCTACAGGAACATGGTGTTCACATGTTGTTGCCACATGTTTAATGCGTATTCGACAACCTGATAAAGTTTTATTACGTGCTCCTATATCAGAGTCTCTGTCAAAATTAAGTAGAGAAGATTTACAAAAATTTGCTCAAAATTTAATTTGTCACGTAGGCCCTAGAAAGGTAAGTTTGTAACCTTGCTTTATAAACTAGGTTGTTTAGATCGAATGATTGGACGGTTTCCAAAAAAAGTTTTTTATTTGCAATGTACTGGCTACTTTGCTTTATTCTGTTTGTTTGTATTCCAGATACTGAGTGGGTATTCAAGTACGCTTGAGATACCTTTCCTCTCCTTCCAAATATCAAGTGCTGCTTTAAGACTGGATTATTTTTTAAGAATTATTTTGATGATAGGGATTATAGTAGTTGAACTCGTTTATCACTTGCCTTGGAAATCTCATCAATCGTGGTGGTTTAGCAGTCTATGAAATTGTGGAACACATAGTGCCAATTTCTTGGCTTGTACCAGTTCACGACACCTTTGGGACAGGTGATATATATCTCTGTCATCCAGAGACTGAGCACAGTGTTAAACACTCAGCTCCATATTACTTTCTGACTGACGTGGCATTTTTAGGTTACTAGCGTTTGTCATAGGTATCTTCAAAACTGGTGTCTATGATGAAGGAAAATATCGAGTTAGACAACCCGGATGTTAGGTAGAAAATGTGTCGAATAAAAGCGATAAATGCGTCACTGAGATCATAAATTCTTGATTGAGGTGGCCGGTAATGGTACTATGTTATCAGTCATTATTTCAGTGGGTCAAATGGCCAATGTATAAGTGGGTTAGAAGGTTAATAGTATCCGTTTCAAGATGTGACATTTCATAAAGTTTCTAAATGTTTTGAAGTCAGTAAGGTTACCGTATTTTATGGTTGGAGATCAGGTGATATGGCCTTATCTTTCTTCAAGTCTTGAGTTTTAGTATTATTACATACTTTTCCTTCGGTTTTATTGGCTTCTCCGTTGATATCATTATTTTCATTCTTTTGCTTTTTATCTTGTTTATTCACTTACTATATTGATATGAAGTGTGATAGCTTGCATTAATGCCCATTCGCGTTAGTTCCCGTGATTTTTATGTTTATCATGTGCAGTATTCCGTTGGTAGCTGGTTGATTCGTCGTTCTAAGTCGTCTAGTTAGTATATTTCAATTTTTGTTTTAGGGTTGGTAATACCTCCCCACTGCCCGAATCGATATAAACGAAGCTTGGTTCCAATCTAATACTCAATAGTTAGAAGTTGAGTATTTGAGTTGATTCACAATCGTGTCTGAATTTTGTTCGTTGTACAGGCATCCAGTCGGTCAGTTTTTTAATAGACTAAATAAAGCCGATAGTATTTTGAATTACGATAGCATTATTACCACAATACTTTACTTTGCTTATGGTGTGTGTATGAACGTTATTTCTTTGATTTTATGATAGTCCGATTGCAAAAGTCATCGCTTGTTATGATAGAGTTGCTTTTAATTAGTAGCCCATTTATTTTCTTTAAAATCCATTTTTTTTTGAAATTACAGATGCCATATTTATTTACTTGTTTCGCAATAATAGATAGATCGACTAGTTCACTTCATGATTGATTATCTTCTGTTTTGTTTTTATCTTATCCTTCTTTTTTTCCCTTCGTAGATTTTACCAGCTGCACAGCTTATTCTAGACCAGTTATTGGCTGCTACAAATAATCCTATTAAAAATTCTGCTGGAGCACCTGGTATGTATCACTTGAGAATTTTATGGTAATGTATTTATTTATAAATAAAAAATAACAGTTACATTAATTGATCACTAAATGAAAACCTATATTTAGTCCTTAATGTCAACCAGATACCCGTAGATTAACTATATAATACAAAGAATGATAACGCATCATGATATGAAGTCTCTTAGAACAATAGTCACCTTATAAATTGATCGATAGAATCCAATAAATACTACGAATCAGGCCGTAACACTGCATAGTGACATCACTATACATCTATATATTTGGTCGATTTTTACAATAGCTGTTTGATACCTATACAATAGCTTGGGTTTGCCGAAAAAATTTGAAGTCTAAGTTGGTTTCAAGCGTGCTGATATCATGGTAGCTTCGGGAGAAGTAGTTCATTAGGTTGGATGAGCTGGCTATCTATGGGTAGTAAAATAAACGAGTTACATATGTAGAAGGATCGAGGGTAATCGTTCCAGAACACTGTTTATATAGTATAAGGTATTATGAGTCTGACTAGAATAAGTGGAAAATAGTTTCAGTGTTCTCCGATCAGAATATTATAGTAATTCGTACATAAATCGGCTGTTGGTCTGGAACGCATTGGAATGTGTATATTTCTTGATTATGGCTCTCGACGTGTTAGAAATCACTAGTTTGATACATCATGTAAGGTTGGTCAACATTAGATTTAGTAACTCATATACACCTATTCTTCACCTTTTAAATCGTAAATACCTTATTGCCTTGCATTTGTTTTTCTCTCGTCTACTCAGATACTTAATCCGGTTCATTTATATTTTATTTTGCTGATTTTAAATTTGTGCTGATCGATGAGTGAGTGGTAAAGAGGAGGTGATGGGTAACATCTATGGACTATCACTGTTGCTTTCTGAGTAATTTCGTCTATTTATCAGGCTCATTCGTAAGAGATTATGTAAGCGCTGAAAAACCTACAAATTTCAAGAAGAAAAATACGAAATATTAGTTGTTAAAATAACTTAGTAGCGGTGTAATGAACGAGAACACAGGTCGAGCAACCAATATATTTTAATACAAAATTACTGAGTCCTTTCATCAAATGTGAAAACCATACATTCAATGCTTCATTTAAAAATTCTCCATCAATTGCCTCAAACTTAATCGTTTCTTCATTGTCATAACAATTACTCTCTGTTACCGTTCTCGTCGATTCGATCTTCCAACCTTCTGCTGCCAGACATTCCACTTGTGATTGGTGTTATATACTACTTATGTTGACATAAGTAGCATACACCACAGTATTATTATTATTATTATTATTATTATTATTATTATTATTATTATTATTAGCTTTATTCAATATTATATTATTGGTACAATATAGAATTCTCAGCACAAAGTATTTCAACAAGTTTCCGTTTCTTTCTTCTTGGTCGGTCCTCGCGATAAATACTGAGTGGTCGCCAGCTAGATGTTATCAGTCCAGTTAATGAACATGGGAATGATGTACATTCTTTTCGTTGTATATTGCCAGCAACCATATTCTCTCTTTTTGAGCTTTTTGTAACTTTGATAACGAAAGGTTGTACATTTTTCAGAAACGCAGCAGAATAGGTTGTGCGATTAATAGACATAATGATATATTAAAACAAACAAAAATAGATAACTTGTTGAAATATCTAGATGGCAGGAACAGGTAGCCCAGATGCTCAAGCAGGCCGCCACCGTAGTAGTAGCTTACTTGTATAGTTGTGTGATTTGAAACCACTTATCGTCCTACTTTTTTCAAGTGTACATATGGTTAATAAATGAATCAGTTTTTAAGTTGTACGAATCTTTCACGAATTTTATCTTAATTGATTGGAAAGTTAATTTGAAAAATTTGTGTATATATCAAATATATTGCATTTTGTAGATTATTTTACGTATATTGATCGATAATAATTTCCTTTTAAATAGACCCAACCGTCGGTGGAGCTTTGGGAGATGCAGCAGCGTGGTGTTTTGATGGTGGTGTATTAGAAGAAAAATTACGAGTTACACTGCGTAGATTTTGGGCTCCACGACCTGTATTATATAGTGATATTGGATCATTAAGTTTTAATTCACCTACGGAAGTAGAGAATTTTCACTGTATACTTCGTTCTTATCGCGCCAACGAACCACGTGGCCTTTGGGCATTACTATCGTTTATTAGAGATATGATGAGAAGACAAGATAATAATGGTGTCTTACTCTTAGAAATTGTTACACGATGCATTTTAGATATGAATGAGGTAATCTTGTGTTTACTCTGTTTTTTTATACATACTACAAATATAATATTCATAGATTAAAGTTGTTGCTATTGAACTCAAGCAGCATATTCTCCTTAATGTCCAAAGTTATTTAGACGGGAAGGGTTAAAAGAAAAAAGCATATATTCATCATTTTAGACAACCACGATGCATTTCAATTTTGAAATGTATTTTTGCGTGGGTGAATGTTGATTCGTTGATTTTCCTTCTACATAAAACCTCTTGTAAAATAACTATTTGTACCTGGAAATTTAAAACGTTCAGTTTTGTCATCGTATCACAGGGAACTCAAACAATGATCTACTTTCGATGTCTAGAACTTCGTGTTCCTGTTACTTCACCTCTCAAACCTATTGGTAATGAAAGTTCCGGTTACGTAAAAACTAAATCCCAGATAAAATTTATTTGATTTTCGTTGTGTAATTATCATTTGGTTAATATTCACAATGATTTCTTATTAGTTTAATTATTTCACAATTGATTGATCACTGGGTGGTGATCAATCTCATGCTTGTCTAGTCCTTATTAGTGCAGATCGAATGCTATCGATCATGTTGCAATGTGGCCACCAGTCTAGGTGACTCGACACTGCGGGCACTATGTAATGAGATTAGATGGTGGTTGGAGGTAGTCAACAGGAAACCCTGGACCCGGGTTTCGTGCTACTTGGCACTCGTCAGCAAGGTGTACCTGTAATCTTGAGGGAACTGGTGCTCCCTGGCGGATTCGATCTCGTGTCACCCAGCTTCACAGTCAGAGACGTTACCACTGAGCTATTCGAGCCGTGACTAACCTCCTGTAGGACTGAGATGTAATCACAATTGATTGATCACTGGGTGGTGATCAATCTCATGCTTGTCTAGTCCTTATTAGTGCAGATCGAATGCTATCGATCATGTTGCAATGTGGCCACTAGTCTAGGTGACTCGACACTGCGGGCACTATGTAATGAGATTAGATGGTGGTTGGAGGTAGTCAACAGGAAACCCTGGACCCGGGTTTCGTGCTACTTGGCACTCGTCAGCAAGGTGTACCTGTAATCTTGAGGGAACTGGTGCTCCCTGGCGGATTCGATCTCGTGTCACCCAGCTTCACAGTCAGAGACGTTACCACTGAGCTATTCGAGCCGTGACTAACCTCCTGTAGGACTGAGATGTAATCACAATTGATTGATCACTGGGTGGTGATCAATCTCATGCTTGTCTAGTCCTTATTAGTGCAGATCGAATGCTATCGATCATGTTGCAATGTGGCCACCAGTCTAGGTGACTCGACACTGCGGGCACTATGTATTGAGATTAGATGGTGGTTGGAGGTAGTCAACAGGAAACCCTGGACCCGGGTTTCGTGCTACTTGGCACTCGTCAGCAAGGTGTACCTGTAATCTTGAGGGAACTGGTGCTCCCTGGCGGATTCGATCTCGTGTCACCCAGCTTCACAGTCAGAGACGTTACCACTGAGCTATTCGAGCCGTGACTAACCTCCTGTAGGACTGAGATGTAATCACAATTGATTGATCACTGGGTGGTGATCAACCTCATGCTTGTCTAGTCCTTATTAGTGCAGATCGAATGCTATCGATCATGTTGCAATGTGGCCACCAGTCTAGGTGACTCGACACTGCGGGCACTATGTAATGAGATTAGATGGTGGTTGGAGGTAGTCAACAGGAAACCCTGGACCCGGGTTTCGTGCTACTTGGCACTCGTCAGCAAGGTGTACCTGTAATCTTGAGGGAACTGGTGCTCCCTGGCGGATTCGATCTCGTGTCACCCAGCTTCACAGTCAGAGACGTTACCACTGAGCTATTCGAGCCGTGACTAACCTCCTGTAGGACTGAGATGTAATCACAATTGATTGATCACTGGGTGGTGATCAATGTCATGCTTGTCTAGTCCTTATTAGTGCAGATCGAATGCTATCGATCATGTTGCAATGTGGCCACCAGTCTAGGTGACTCGACACTGCGGGCACTATGTAATGAGATTAGATGGTGGTTGGAGGTAGTCAACAGGAAACCCTGGACCCGGGTTTCGTGCTACTTGGCACTCGTCAGCAAGGTGTATCTGTAATCTTGAGGGAACTGGTGCTCCCTGGCGGATTCGATCTCGTGTCACCCAGCTTCACAGTCAGAGACGTTGCCACTGAGCTATTCGAGCCGTGACTAACCTCCTGTAGGACTGAGATGTAATCACAATTGATTGATCACTGGGTGGTGATCAATCTCATGCTTGTCTAGTCCTTATTAGTGCAGATCGAATGCTATCGATCATGTTGCAATGTGGCCACCAGTCTAGGTGACTCGACACTGCGGGCACTATGTAATGAGATTAGATGGTGGTTGGAGGTAGTCAACAGGAAACCCTGGACCCGGGTTTCGTGCTACTTGGCACTCGTCAGCAAGGTGTACCTGTAATCTTGAGGGAACTGGTGCTCCCTGGCGGATTCGATCTCGTGTCACCCAGCTTCACAGTCAGAGACGTTACCACTGAGCTATTCGAGCCGTGACTAACCTCCTGTAGGACTGAGATGTAATCACAATTGATTGATCACTGGGTGGTGATCAATCTCATGCTTGTCTAGTCCTTATTAGTGCAGATCGAATGCTATCGATCATGTTGCAATGTGGCCACCAGTCTAGGTGTTTCGACACTGCGGGCACTATGTAATGAGATTAGATGGTGGTTGGAGGTAGTCAACAGGAAACCCTGGACCCGGGTTTCGTGCTACTTGGCACTCGTCAGCAAGGTGTACCTGTAATCTTGAGGGAACTGGTGCTCCCTGGCGGATTCGATCTCGTGTCACCCAGCTTCACAGTCAGAGACGTTACCACTGAGCTATTCGAGCCGTGACTAACCTCCTGTAGGACTGAGATGTAATCACAATTGATTGATCACTGGGTGGTGATCAATCTCATGCTTGTCTAGTCCTTATTAGTGCAGATCGAATGCTATCGATCATGTTGCAATGTGGCCACCAGTCTAGGTGACTCGACACTGCGGGCACTATGTAATGAGATTAGATGGTGGTTGGAGGTAGTCAACAGGAAACCCTGGACCCGGGTTTCGTGCTACTTGGCACTCGTCAGCAAGGTGTACCTGTAATCTTGAGGGAACTGGTGCTCCCTGGCGGATTCGATCTCGTGTCACCCAGCTTCACAGTCAGAGACGTTACCACTGAGCTATTCGAGCCGTGACTAACCTCCTGTAGGACTGAGATGTAATCACAATTGATTGATCACTGGGTGGTGATCAATCTCATGCTTGTCTAGTCCTTATTAGTGCAGATCGAATGCTATCGATCATGTTGCAATGTGGCCACCAGTCTAGGTGACTCGACACTGCGGGCACTATGTAATGAGATTAGATGGTGGTTGGAGGTAGTCAACAGGAAACCCTGGACCCGGGTTTCGTGCTACTTGGCACTCGTCAGCAAGGTGTACCTGTAATCTTGAGGGAACTGGTGCTCCCTGGCGGATTCGATCTCGTGTCACCCAGCTTCACAGTCAGAGACGTTACCACTGAGCTATTCGAGCCGTGACTAACCTCCTGTAGGACTGAGATGTAATCACAATTGATTGATCACTGGGTGGTGATCAATCTCATGCTTGTCTAGTCCTTATTAGTGCAGATCGAATGCTATCGATCATGTTGCAATGTGGCCACCAGTCTAGGTGACTCGACACTGCGGGCACGATGTAATGAGATTAGATGGTGGTTGGAGGTAGTCAACAGGAAACCCTGGACCCGGGTTTCGTGCTACTTGGCACTCGTCAGCAAGGTGTACCTGTAATCTTGAGGGAACTGGTGCTCCCTGGCGGATTCGATCTCGTGTCACCCAGCTTCACAGTCAGAGACGTTGCCACTGAGCTATCCGAGCCGTGACTAACCTCCTGTAGGACTGAGATGTAATCACAATTGATTGATCACTGGGTGGTGATCAATCTCATGCTTGTCTAGTCCTTATTAGTGCAGATCGAATGCTATCGATCATGTTGCAATGTGGCCACCAGTCTAGGTGACTCGACACTGCGGGCACTATGTAATGAGATTAGATGGTGGTTGGAGGTAGTCAACAGGAAACCCTGGACCCGGGTTTCGTGCTACTTGGCACTCGTCAGCAAGGTGTACCTGTAATCTTGAGGGAACTGGTGCTCCCTGGCGGATTCGATCTCGTGTCACCCAGCTTCACAGTCAGAGACGTTACCACTGAGCTATTCGAGCCGTGACTAACCTCCTGTAGGACTGAGATGTAATCACAATTGATTGATCACTGGGTGGTGATCAATCTCATGCTTGTCTATTCCTTATTAGTGCAGATCGAACGCTATCGATCATGTTGCAATGTGGCCACCAGTCTAGGTGACTCGACACTGCGGGCACTATGTAATGAGATTAGATGGTGGTTGGAGGTAGTCAACAGGAAACCCTGGACCCGGGTTTCGTGCTACTTGGCACTCGTCAGCAAGGTGTACCTGTAATCTTGAGGGAACTGGTGCTCCCTGGCGGATTCGATCTCGTGTCACCCAGCTTCACAGTCAGAGACGTTACCACTGAGCTATTCGAGCCGTGACTAACCTCCTGTAGGACTGAGATGTAATCACAATTGATTGATCACTGGGTGGTGATCAATCTCATGCTTGTCTATTCCTTATTAGTGCAGATCGAATGCTATCGATCATGTTGCAATGTGGCCACCAGTCTAGGTGACTCGACACTGCGGGCACTATGTAATGAGATTAGATGGTGGTTGGAGGTAGTCAACAGGAAACCCTGGACCCGGGTTTCGTGCTACTTGGCACTCGTCAGCAAGGTGTACCTGTAATCTTGAGGGAACTGGTGCTCCCTGGCGGATTCGATCTCGTGTCACCCAGCTTCACAATCAGAGACGTTACCACTGAGCTATTCGAGCCGTGACTAACCTCCTGTAGGACTGAGATGTAATCACAATTGATTGATCACTGGGTGGTGATCAACGTCATGCTTGTCTAGTCCTTATTAGTGCAGATCGAATGCTATCGATCATGTTGCAATGTGGCCACCAGTCTAGGTGACTCGACACTGCGGGCACTATGTAATGAGATTAGATGGTGGTTGGAGGTAGTCAACAGGAAACCCTGGACCCGGGTTTCGTGCTACTTGGCACTCGTCAGCAAGGTGTACCTGTAATCTTGAGGGAACTGGTGCTCCCTGGCGGATTCGATCTCGTGTCACCCAGCTTCACAGTCAGAGACGTTACCACTGAGCTATCCGAGCCGTGACTAACCTCCTGTAGGACTGAGATGTAATCACAATTGATTGATCACTGGGTGGTGATCAATCTCATGCTTGTCTAGTCCTTATTAGTGCAGATCGAATGCTATCGATCATGTTGCAATGTGGCCACCAGTCTAGGTGACTCGACACTGCGGGCACTATGTAATGAGATTAGATGGTGGTTGGAGGTAGTCAACAGGAAACCCTGGACCCGGGTTTCGTGCTACTTGGCACTCGTCAGCAAGGAGTACCTGTAATCTTGAGGGAACTGGTGCTCCCTGGCGGATTCGATCTCGTGTCACCCAGCTTCACAGTCAGAGACGTTACCACTGAGCTATTCGAGCCGTGACTAACCTCCTGTAGGACTGAGATGTAATCACAATTGATTGATCACTGGGTGGTGATCAATCTCATGCTTGTCTAGTCCTTATTAGTGCAGATCGAATGCTATCGATCATGTTGCAATGTGGCCACCAGTCTAGGTGACTCGACACTGCGGGCACTATGTATTGAGATTAGATGGTGGTTGGAGGTAGTCAACAGGAAACCCTGGACCCGGGTTTCGTGCTACTTGGCACTCGTCAGCAAGGTGTATCTGTAATCTTGAGGGAACTGGTGCTCCCTGGCGGATTCGATCTCGTGTCACCCAGCTTCACAGTCAGAGACGTTACCACTGAGCTATTCGAGCCGTGACTAACCTCCTGTAGGACTGAGATGTAATCACAATTGATTGATCACTGGGTGGTGATCAATCTCATGCTTGTCTAGTCCTTATTAGTGCAGATCGAATGCTATCGATCATGTTGCAATGTGGCCACCAGTCTAAGTGACTCGACACTGCGGGCACTATGTAATGAGATTAGATGGTGGTTGGAGGTAGTCAACAGGAAACCCTGGACCCGGGTTTCGTGCTACTTGGCACTCGTCAGCAAGGTGTACCTGTAATCTTGAGGGGACTGGTGCTCCCTGGCGGATTCGATCTCGTGTCACCCAGCTTCACAGTCAGAGACGTTACCACTGAGCTATTCGAGCCGTGACTAACCTCCTGTAGGACTGAGATGTAATCACAATTGATTGATCACTGGGTGGTGATCAATCTCATGCTTGTCTAGTCCTTATTAGTGCAGATCGAATGCTATCGATCATGTTGCAATGTGGCCACCAGTCTAGGTGTTTCGACACTGCGGGCTCTATGTAATGAGATTAGATGGTGGTTGGAGGTAGTCAACAGGAAACCCTGGACCCGGGTTTCGTGCTACTTGGCACTCGTCAGCAAGGTGTACCTGTAATCTTGAGGGAACTGGTGCTCCCTGGCGGATTCGATCTCGTGTCACCCAGCTTCACAGTCAGAGACGTTACCACTGAGCTATTCGAGCCGTGACTAACCTCCTGTAGGACTGAGATGTAATCACAATTGATTGATCACTGGGTGGTGATCAATCTCATGCTTGTCTAGTCCTTATTAGTGCAGATCGAATGCTATCGATCATGTTGCAATGTGGCCACCAGTCTAGGTGACTCGACACTGCGGGCACTATGTAATGAGATTAGATGGTGGTTGGAGGTAGTCAACAGGAAACCCTGGACCCGGGTTTCGTGCTACTTGGCACTCGTCAGCAAGGTGTACCTGTAATCTTGAGGGAACTGGTGCTCCCTGGCGGATTCGATCTCGTGTCACCCAGCTTCACAGTCAGAGACGTTACCACTGAGCTATTCGAGCCGTGACTAACCTCCTGTAGGACTGAGATGTAATCACAATTGATTGATCACTGGGTGGTGATCAATCTCATGCTTGTCTAGTCCTTATTAGTGCAGATCGAATGCTATCGATCATGTTGCAATGTGGCCACCAGTCTAGGTGTTTCGACACTGCGGGCTCTATGTAATGAGATTAGATGGTGGTTGGAGGTAGTCAACAGGAAACCCTGGACCCGGGTTTCGTGCTACTTGGCACTCGTCAGCAAGGTGTACCTGTAATCTTGAGGGAACTGGTGCTCCCTGGCGGATTCGATCTCGTGTCACCCAGCTTCACAGTCAGAGACGTTACCACTGAGCTATTCGAGCCGTGACTAACCTCCTGTAGGACTGAGATGTAATCACAATTGATTGATCACTGGGTGGTGATCAATCTCATGCTTGTCTAGTCCTTATTAGTGCAGATCGAATGCTATCGATCATGTTGCAATGTGGCCACCAGTCTAGGTGACTCGACACTGCGGGCACTATGTAATGAGATTAGATGGTGGTTGGAGGTAGTCAACAGGAAACCCTGGACCCGGGTTTCGTGCTACTTGGCACTCGTCAGCAAGGTGTACCTGTAATCTTGAGGGAACTGGTGCTCCCTGGCGGATTCGATCTCGTGTCACCCAGCTTCACAGTCAGAGACGTTACCACTGAGCTATTCGAGCCGTGACTAACCTCCTGTAGGACTGAGATGTAATCACAATTGATTGATCACTGGGTGGTGATCAATCTCATGCTTGTCTAGTCCAGGGTTTCCTGTTGACTACCTCCAACCACCATCGAATAGTTTAATTATTTACTTTGCTAACTACCATCTACTGAGGAATTAATCCCCACCATGTATACTTTTGATTATTATTAGTATAAATGGCATGGATATGTGTTTGTTAGTTGAGACAGTAAATGTTGGCCACTGTTGATGCAATAGATGTTGAGTACATATACACACACACACACTCATCTATACAACTATTCTCTTCATTATTTCTACTTACCTTCATGTTTTAACAATTTTTTGTTGTTGATAGTATATGACATTTCATGATAATATCTGGAATTTGATCATTGTTTTAGTGTAGTTTAGTTTATTATGCATACACCCTTCTAATGTTTACGTTTTTAGTCGTTTTAGCCTATGTTTAAACTGTAATGCTTTAATCAAATTTGATCTTTGAATAAATAAAACGAGTGAGCAATTTATTCAATTTACTGAAATCAGAGTTTATTCGTATAGATACAAGCAATTTTATAGTTATACTTAGTAAATTTAACGAATCAAAGTACGAACATAAATATATTGAATTTATTGGAGTTTATTGAAAGGCCTGACTAATAAAAAAAAGAAGTATTTCAAATATTTCTCAGCTTCTTTATACTTTCCAGGAATAATAATTATTATCTGTTAAATGAACATGTATCTAATACCCATAAATTTCTTTATCAGTTTATTATTACAAAATAGATTATCGATGTTTTGTAGTGTTGGGTAATATCCTGTTTTTTTTTCTTATTTTTTTTCCAATTTGCCAAACATTAAATAATTATAAAATTATCTCTTTTTTTTAAAAAAAACAATACAAATAAAATATTTGCTTCATATCCTATGGATCTTAGTGTATAATCTTTCGAGTTTCAAACTTCTATCTACCTTACATTTTTTTTGCGCGGAGTAGTATCACACCATCAGTCATCATATAAAACAGTATGGTTCAAAACTCTGATTACAGGAATGCCAGTACTTGGTGTCTAAGGTTAACATACTGTAGTCAAAGTAGGCTATGACAAATTTTTATAGATTTCAAACTAATGATTTTTACTCAGCTATTCATAATATAAAAAAATTGTTTATCATGCTTATAGGTTATGTTTTGGTGGTGTACTGTTCAAACTAATCCTTGTCACTTTCCTGAAAGTGTATCTGTTCGTCAAAAACAAACTCAATGTGTTGCTGTTTGGTTATGTGAAGAAATTGTTCAACTTTGGAGTTTAGCTTGTTTAAATCCCGAACTTCGACCAATTTTAAATTATGTCAATCATAAGTCATTGTCACCGTCATCATCATGTGGAAATGGTTTATTTTCTACTGAAAATTGTAAATCTTATTCAGATTGTTGTTGGCTTTTACAAAAAATTGCTCATAGACTACAAGCATTTCATGCATTCGCTTTAAAACAAGCTGATATTCAAATAAATTTAACAAGTACTACTGCTAAAAATACTATGACTATGGTTTGGTGTGATACATTAGGCAATGGATCATTTCCTAATGAAATATCTTCTCAAGACGATTCTGATATAATACCAAAAAATATTTCATTATTTTCGGGATTTTTACCGGCTCTTGCAGCTTGCAGGTAGGAAATTTCTAGACAGTAATTTACTTTTATTATTTTTTGGTTCATTTTAACGTTCAGTGAATTTAGCATTAAATTAAACAACAATACTTGACTATATCATAAGTTTATTCATACATTCTTTAAAATGGTATTTTTATGGTAAGGAGAATAAGTAAAACTTAAGTTTGTTCATTTCAAGGTTTGTACTTGCTGAACTGATTAATATGTTTACATTATTTGAGTTTTCTTTAACTTTGTAAAGTAGAACAGTCCCTTATTGGCATGTGTGCATCCTGTGCACGTTTCGTCTTATTCGGGACTCGTCAGCCTGGCGTACCTGATGTTCACTCCTCAACTCTAACCCAGTGCCGTTCACTTCAAACGCCGTCCCGTTATCCATTTACAAAAGTGAATTAAAACATCACCCCATTGCACAAGCTAGCGCCTATCCAGACTGAGTAGCTAAGTCGGTAATGTGATGGCGTTTGTAGCGAACCGTACTGGGTTTGAGTTGCAGAGTGAACAACTGTGGGATGCAGGTACATTCAGCTGACGAGTCCCAAATAGGACTACATATACGTCCTGGATTCCACTGCTAACCACCATCCATTTTTGTAAATTACTGAATTAATGAACAATCTATTCTTCTAATATATTGGCTGAAATGATTTAGTATCAAGCAAATCGTTTGACATCTCAGTCATCAGTCGGACATTAGAAACGTAGAACCTAATACAATGTGCATCAACCCAAGTAACTACACTGCATTGGAAGAGCAAGAAGAAATTATCAAGCAGTAATATCATTGAAATTAAAATGGATTAGCCTTTGAGAATATAATTCGAGACGACTGAATGAATTAGCGGAATGGAAAACACAAAATAGTTTTGAAACTCTACATATAGGGGGAAACAGAGAGTTGATCTATTTTACTATGATTGTTTTTCAGCCATATCACCTAGTGTTGTAATACCCATTTTCATCTGTTGGATGATGAACGGATTTAACTCATGTTTTGTTGAAGGTCACTCCACTTCACTAGTTACCCATATTGCTAAAAATATACACGATCTAATTTATCTTCTCTGTTTGCTTAGTACTGAAATATATTGTAGATCTAACGGATTAAGAATTCACAACTAGATCATATCAAGCTTACCAACACGCAGGTTATCATAAATTGATTAAACTTGGACTATTGTGTAGTTCATCGATGACTCAGTAGTTTCTTCCTCATCGGAAGACTCCAAAGTCTTGATTCCTACCCCGATTATGGTTTCCCGTATATAACCGTAGATAATTTCAAGGCTATTTTGAAATAGCTGTCCAGGGCTTACTGCTACTTAACTAGATTACCAGTTGATGTCAGTTTTTGAATAAAATAACCTTAAAATAAACGAAGGTTTAATGAATATTGTTACTCAGTTCAAGTTTTATTCATTTTTTCTAAGGAAAATTGACTTAAGGATTTTTTTCATAATTTTAGACTTTCATGGTCTTCCGAAGTTCCACCTACATATGGTCTTTCCGGTACAGAATTTCTAAAATGTATGTTCACTATGTCTCTTCAATACTATATTTTTAAAGTTTAAAATTCTGATGTAGCGATCAATATCTAGTTACAAGTTGTAATCCATACATTGTATTTTGTTTCTTGAATGTTATTGCAGTTACTGTTTTATTTATTTATTTATTTGGACACATGAATATTGGTACAAGAGGGCGCCAATATATATGCGCCACACAAAACAATGAAAATTCAAGAGGAATACAAAGAAAAAAAAAAGCTAAGGAGCGCAACAAAAAAAAGAGAACAATAACAAAGAGATTGGTGTAAGGTAATGTGCTAGTAATCAGGGAACCCAAAGGTACAATCGGAAGAAATCTTTCAGGTAAGGGAGACAGAACCACCAACACCGACTTCGGTGGCTTGGACATGGCTCAGAAGCAGTTACTGTATTGTTGAAAGCGTCTTTACAGCCTACTTGGAGATCATCTGTCTGGAATTGAAAAATTCTTTTAAAATACTTATTTAATTCATACGAACCTGTGATCAAAAAATAACGAACTGTATTCATATTACGTAGTGATTTAATTGGTAAAAATTTGAGCGTATGGCTATTGGAACTTAATCATGCTAGGAGTGAGACAGTTACCAAACAGTGGCGTTCGATGATGATTGTGCAATATCGCAAGGCGACAGAAATTAGAAATGCAAACCATTGATGGTCTAGAGGTTAAGTCCATGTCACGAGACTTAAATGGTCCTGAGTTTGGTCCCCGTTAGATATGTGGAGAGGTGGCTTAGTGGTTAGGGTGTTTTACTTTCGCCCACTAGGCCCCCAAGTTCGAAGCCTGCTTCGTCTATTTCGCCACCTCAATGTCCTGGTACAGCCGAGAGTGAGGACAGTCAGCTCTTCCTCTCGAAATGCTCTCACATGGCCACGTGCATACAACCACTGCCAGGGAAGTCCTACTCACTACCATCTCGCGGCGGGGTTGTTTTTTACGAAATTGAGAGGACGAAAACTGAATGTCCGGCGCTTTAACCGGGTTGGTGAACACAGAGAGTTCGCCTAAGGGAGTTGGGAAACCCTGATTATAAACCAATAGTGCACATGAGCTCCAGTATCCTGAGGGAATAAATGGCATATGAACCAATCGTTGGCCATCGGCTACCAAGGGACTGCGTCTCCTGACGTTGCTCCACGGCCTTGCGGATTCGACTTTTAGATTAAAAGCTACAGGTGTGGCCCTCTAGGAAAACCACTTGCTTCGGTTTGGGCACCCGGGCAGTATCCTAGCCCTCACACAAATCGGATGATTTATGTGGCGGATATCTATTTGGTGCCTCCTTGTACCACTGTTTATATGTGTAAATTAATAAATAAATAAAATAGTATCACTAACCCCCATACTTGAAGCGTTGCTCATACGCATATACTTGGTGCATGAGTTTATTAGAATATACTATACCCGATGGTATGTCTGCTCATTGTAGAACAAAACCACTGTCCAATACTTTTTAATTCTCAGTAGTTGTCCAACTATGGCTGATCTATAGTGTAAACTATAAAATCCTACAATTTCCATAAATCCCTGTGTTGGAGGCTCTTTGATTCTGTTATTAGATAATAATAAGTAAAACAGTGAATACAAATTACCAATAATAACTGTAATTAAAGAGATTGGTTTATAATTTCATTTTAATTATTGTTTTTATTGTTATTGTCTGTAAAGAAAAAGGTTGTAATTTTTCTCTTAAAATATTATTCTGCATTTTATAGTTATGCCATTATTTTCTGGTGCACATGTAAATAGTGATTCTGAAACAACAGATCATGCAGATATGATTTTGAATTTTTCAAAACATTATTACAATTCATTACGAAGTAATAATAATAATAATAATAACAACGGTAATCATAGTCATAATTGTCCAATGGAATTAGATAATTATTGGAGTATAGATCAGATGAATTCACAATTATTGAATAATCTTCCTTCACCTGAAAATCATATTGAAGTAAGCTATTAGATGATAATATTTTGAATATTTCTGTATATTGAGAATGTCATGAAATAAAATGGACATTGCAGGATGATTTTGTGAAAGCCTAGAACTTATTGAAGTCAATCAGCTAGTAGAATGTAGGATCTCTGATGCAAATGTTCACCGAAACACTGTTATACTAATGGTACTAACAACTTGTTTTGTTTGGAGAGCCTCACACATTAGATTAATTCACGGGAGCTAGATAACTGGTATTCTGAACAGTGTGTAATTGAGATGCATGCTTTCTAGTTAAACTAATTGTAAGACAAGCTTGATTTATAGTTGTACAGTTTGAGAGACCTGGATCCAAGTCTGTACTATCAGCTCAGATCCACCTGTTCTTTTCCTTTTTTATTCTACGGTTTTAGTCTCTTATTAAAACCAGATAGCGGTTACTGGATTTAGTTATTCTCTTATTTTTTCTGATGTTATTTGATTCTGTCTCGTGATATCTTATGTTCCCTTATCTCACGTATCATGGTGTTAAAAATTTTCAGTGTACTTTATTTAGTATCTTTTTCTCGCTTACTATACAAAGACGTGAGATGTTTTTCTGATATCCGTAGTTTGTGAAGTTGTGGGATAATAAATTTTAAGTTGTATAATTACCTCATACGTTTCTATTGCACGAATTTATTGTTTCTTCAAAGATCATATTGTCTATGTTGAACTTTTCCTACTGTCGCTGATACTGTTATCTCTTCTACTGATTTTTATATTCATCTTGTGAATTTCATCTCGTTCTACTGATGTGGTGTGACAATTTGGATTGATGCATGTATGTGCCAAGTTCAGCGTGGCTTATGACTAACTGACTTGTAATTCAGTTTACTTATTGTATTTGCTTAACCCTTTTTTCTTATTATTTTTTTATTCTGGTCAGTTTTAAACTACTGACATAAAGTTATTTATTTACTATTTTTTTATTATCTTCATTATCTAAAAACAAATATGGTTAAGTTCATTTTGTATTGTTTGTTTGAATCTTTCTATTGATGTTTGGGACTGTAATTGGTCAGTCTATTATTGGCATATGTGCATCCTGTGCGAGTTGCCTCGATATTGCCTTAAGTCACAAGCATTATAAGCAAAGATGGATGGTGTCTATGGTTAAGGTCATATTGGGTAAAATTTGCAGCTTTAATATTTAATTCATTTTTCAATCCATATCACAACTGGTTTTAAATGGGCTCAGTGGATTTTTAGTGTTCATATAACCATTTGGTTGCAAGTTCATTGCATACTTCCATGTGAACAGCTGAAGAGCATGGTTTACAGCCCTCATACAAGGCACAGTGCTGTTGAATGTGAAGCACGTATGAACTTAATCCCATTTACTAATTTTTGTTTGAATTGGATTCAAAATATCCAGATCATTAAAAAGTACGAAGTGAATTTTTTAATTTCATAATATCATGTCTTGATATAAAAAAACAATTACGTGTTAAAGTTTTGGGTTGGTTTAAAGTAAATTATGTTTACGAACAATTGAGAATCTTCTAATACGAACTAGAACGATTATGAACTCTAACTGATTGGATTTCCGACACACAAGCTAATATGAAATGGAGATAAAAGTCAAAAGTTGTAGAGACAACTGTGTTTATATGTTAACATGCATTGATATTGGGGTATATAGAAAAGTTAGCAAACAAAAAGCGTTAATGGTCAGTCACATAACAGAGAAAGTCATTGGAAAATCATGGATCAAAAAAGCATCATCTTAGTTACCCCGTAGGAGGAAAACTGATTTGTGATAACAAAAATAACCAGATAGTCTAAACTCTCCTTAGTACAGAATGATATTGTTTGTCTCTCTGTTTGTTTTCTTTCTTTTGCGTTATAGTTTGCTTTTACAAGATTTCAAGCACTTAACGCTCATGGTTATACCGAACAAGCCTTACATTGGGCACGTTTCCTAGCTCTTCTATTACTATATACCAGTAATGAATTTATCAATGAATGTGAACAAGCTTCTTTTGAAATTGTTGGCAGAGTAAAATACCAATCTTCTGAAACTAATACTACTAATCATGTAGCTAATATCAGTCGAAACGCAGACAATTCACATAGAACTAATCAACAAGATTCATGTCCTGCTAACTATCAGTCTAATTCACGCGGTCAACAGAAATCAGTGCCTGCAAGTACAGTGTCAAGTTCATGGAGTTCAAATGGTATACCTGGTGGTATAGGTAATAGTAGTGGTGGTGTTGGTATAGGCGGTAGTTCAAATTCTCGAAAGAATTCACGAAATGGACGTTCTAAGAAAACTGGTGCATGTTCAAACACAAATAATCCTCGAGAAGCGACAGAGAAATTTACAAATTCAATTAAATTACATCCATTAGGTAAAAAATTATCCATTGATTACACTAAAAAGGTAAATATAGTGTGTGTCTGTCATATGTTTATATTGCTCTTTTCCTTTAATTTCTATTAATCCAGAATAATTTTGAATACGTATAATAAGTTTTTCATAGAATTCAACGTCTATTTTCGAAAAGTAGTATAGTTGCCACATCAAAGTAATTTCTAGTCAACAAAACATTGAAATAAATCTGTGGGCCTTCCTTTTTTCTACTCACGATCCCACCGGGATCAAACGTAGGACTTTCCCGATTCATGGAAACTGCTTAGTTTTCAGACCACTGATTCGGTGTCTAACAATTTCAGATAATGTAATACTGGAAGTAAACAGCTTGTTTTCAATACTTGTCTAACTGAGGACATCATTTTTCATTTCTCTGCACAGAGTGTGGATTTTAACATGTAGAGTCGTATCTTGGAATTTTTCGGGATATCTTTGAATGGTTGATTACTTCTAAACACGATCACTTGAATTTTTGACCTTTATATATACTATTTTATTGTTCAAGTTATTTATTCAGTTACTACAGTTAAATCCACTAATAAGTATACACTAGGTGGCATGACATATTAATGATCTTGGTTTAAGTACACTAATATCATGATAATTTGTTACTTTTACTAAAGCGAAATGCTTATGTATGTATACATTGTTTATAAATTACAGGCTATTCGTTGGTTGGATCAAATACGTTGTATCATGGAGTGCCTTTCAAATGCACACAAGGAACGTATCTTTAGTATGCCGAATTCTTCAACCAATGGAAATATTTTCTTCCCTAAATCAACACGCTTTGATAATACAAATAATAGTACTAATAACAATGATAGTTGTATAAATAATAATAGTAGTAATGCTAACCATAATACCACTGATCACAGAAAGCAAACAGAAACTAACAATATTGATTTACATAGATCTTTTGATATATGGGAATGTATTGATATTGAGTTGATTTTTCGTCTTGGATTTTGTGCATTGAAATTTCCTCGACCACCATGTTGTAGTCCATTATTAGAAGTGAAATTATTTGTTATAGAAATTACATTACTTACTCGACTTTGTTTTTTACCGATTCATCTTGCATGTCCACATGTAATATCAAGTATACGTAGTGAAGCTAAACAATTAGCATCAAATTTAACATTACATCAAAAAGGTGAGTACTTGTACGTAAATTTCACTTGTTTTCCTTCTACTCTACATAAACTGTTGAATTCATATGGATCGGTACAATAATATTTATTAATCTATGGTAAATTATGTACAAATCGTATAAAATGTAAAAGTCGAAAATCTAGATTGATTAGTAGAGTAATTGATGAATGGAGCTGTTTCTTGCATACGGTTAGATTTCAGAAGAGATTTTGTGTTTATACTAGTAAAACTTCTGAAATAAACAAAACTCGGTAATTTCATGAACTAATATCTTAGTCAAACAATCCTTATTATTGTCTTTCAAACCTCGTGGTCTTATGTATCATGAAATCAGCTTTTTAGGAAATTCTAACTTTCTCTAATCTCATAGAAGCTAGTTGTTATTTTTATTTTGAATTTGTTCAATTTTATCGACAAGTTCTACATGATATTTGCCTGTACATTAACTTGAAAGATTAATTTATATTTGTCCATTTCATACTTTTATTACTATCATGGTATACTGATATTAACAAGTAACTAATAGTATATATGTGGTGTATGCTACTTATGTTGACAGATTTAAGTGGTATATAGAACTAATCGGGAATGGAATGCATGCCATTGAAGAGAACAGAAAGGGAAACAACAAGTAATTGTAATAGCAACAGAATTGAAAGAATCACGATGTAAAGGACAACCAATACAAGAAGTGTAAATAATGTATTTAATGTGTGACTTTCATATTTTACGAAAGCATTCTGTAATTCTTCAATGAACAATAAATCGGTCTTCCCTAACTGAGTGGTCGTTCACTTTATATATCCTCAATATGATGAATTCTATGCCCGCTTCTCTATTAAATATACATTTTCGAATGTTGGTTTGATTGTCTACACTTTTTATTCATTATAAGTATTTTCTGTTACATATCGATATTAATTACCATGTGTTGTTCTATTCTGTTTATTCATTGTGCGTTACTTCGTAACTTTCGTAATAAAGAACAATATTTAGGAAATATTATTAATTTTTATTGGATAATCAGTGTTTATATCTTATGCGATTTACTCGTGAATTTTGCTAATTGTTTTTTTATTGAATAATATTATAGATATTCATGTCCCATTTAATTTGGCCACTTATTTATTTCATCAATTGGTCGGTGTAGTTCGATCATATGGGAATTATTTACCACCACAATCAGCTAATTTTATCCCACCCATTCATCAAGATACAGAAAATGTTGCACCAAATATTAATGTTTCACTAATGGAGAATTTTTTCGCTTATCCAGTATTGTCAACTGGTGCAGTACTAGCTGGAAGTGGTCTACCATTAGCAATGGACATATATAATTCCACTAATGGAACTACTACTACTCATTTGTCAGAATCGGAAAAAAATGATCATCCTATTAATGTTCGTATAGCATCAGATGGAGAATTAGGTTTACAATCTATCTTATCAGTATTGGGTGTAAAATCTCGTGTGCCAGAAAGATTATTCACTTATTTTATTGAAGGTCAACGTGCTCAAGAAGATGCCTTAGCTGTATATCTGTTTCGTATGTATCGAGATGATATATCAAAACTTGATCGAGTAAGCGTTTATTTTTTTTCGGAAATTATTTTTACAATTAGTGAATCAGTTAGTCAGTTATGTACAACGTAGAACCTGATACATATGTGTATCGATTCAAGTTCCTATACCATATTAGCATGGAGAGATAAATTTATTTCAATATAAATCCCAACGTAGTAGTAGTAACCATATCAGCAGTAGTAAAAAAGATTAGGTATGAGAAAGAAAAGAAGGTATAAGAAAATTCCGGGACTTCGGTTCTAAAGGAAAACAAAGACTGAATGCACTTGAGCTATCGTTATCAGCATCAATATTGCGTATTCATTTTTTCGATTGGTTGTTTTAATGACCTAATTTATAAACTAGTTGTTGCTTCACTTTCACCTCAATGACTTACAGTTTAGGGTTATGATAATACTTTTATTGTTTATTGGTTAACTTCAGAAATAATATTTTAGAAATATTTTGGGACTCTCCATTTCTCATTTACTTTCATGCTCTCAAATATATGGTTTTATGACATCTACGTGAAGCTCAAATGTCAACTTTTATTCTGATAAATCAATTAGGTAACTCCGTTGTTTAATGTAATTGTCGTGTCTTTCAACTTATATGAAATGGAATGAAGTTAATCCTTGAGTTTTCTAAGCTGCCTCTTTCGAAACATTTCTCAGTAATTTAGTCTATCTACAAAATATTCTTTATCTCAAGTTAAATACACTCGGTCTATTAAATTCCTAGTATTATGAATTTTTTTCTTTGGTTAGTGATCTTACAAACAATTCTTGATGAGTTTAGTTGTTCTTGTGAATTATTTTTATTGGATAGTTTTTTTTATTCCTTTAAAACAAGCTTATGTTACAACGTTTCTGTTATGTTTCATATTTTTAACTTGATGACTGAAGGCGAATGGATTAGGCAAGAACCCTTGTAGTGAATGTTCCTGAATGTATGTACTTAAGTAATCAGATCAACTAGTACGTATAGTAGTAACAAACAATCAGAGTTCAATGGGGTTGAATGAACACAACTGGATTGGTTTAATAATAGTATTGGATTAATTCTAGAATTCGATCTCTTTGTAATTGAATTGGGTTTATATGTATACTGGCAGAAGAACCACTAGCAATTGTATTAGAATAGAAATGATTAACATTAGAGTTTCTTTTTCTTCATCGTCATCTTTGAATGATATCTGTATTTATAGTTGATTTTGTGCATAGTTCATTTGCTGTTGTATTTCGTTTATCTATTTTCTGTGGGTGTGGTTAAAAGCTGTTGATTTTATTGCGCCATGTAATTCTGTAGTTTACTGATCTGCAATACATATATCTTGGATTAATCTCGTAAGTATTTTGAAACTTGTCACGTGTATACTATATTTTAGACAAACCATTAGAGTCACTATAGGAATTTATCGTGGAAATCGGCTTACTGGCAAACTCCATGTTTAAGCTGTATGTATATAGAGTCATCAAACAGTTAATAAGATAACTGGGAAATAAACACATACATACTGACCAGCATACGTAAATCTGGAAAAGCAGTCATAATATAAACCAGCGACATGTTTACTAGTCAAGCTTGTACAGACAAAGATTGCTTATATATATATATATATATATATATATATATATATATATATATGATAAGCACTACTACACTACATTGTGTTGCGACTATACTATCTTGGTTGGTTATAATGTATAACTTATAATGTACTGATCAAAGCCGCCATCCCATAGAAATGAATGAGTTTTTGTCTCGTATTGATTGTTGGTCTGTTGGTAATGGTCTCATACTTAATCCGTCTAAATGTCAAGCTGTTAACTTTAGCATGAGACATAAACGGAATATAAACACTATTTTGAGATCCCATAGTGCTTGTACCATCGGAGACTCTTTGATAAACTCAGTGTCGAAGGTCAATTATCTTGGTGTCACCTTTTCCTCTGATCTGTCTTGGTCTTCCTACGTTTTATCGTTATCAAAGAAGGTTTTCCGTCTGACCTACTACATAAAGAGATTGCATGCTCTTGGAATTACTCGTCATTTACTCTTGCAATTTGTCAATTCTTGCATACTACCTATTATTCTTTACTGTTCTCCATTATTCTTTCCCGGGCTTTTGAGAAAAGACTTTGCTGTATTGCAAAGAGTGCTGAAGGCAGTTAGCAAGGTGTGTGGTGAATCTTTCGAGGTCATAATTAATATGGTTGTGGATAGACATTTAAAATCATGCAAACTCCTGGCAAGTGTCATTTTATCAAATACTAGCCATCCCCTTCACTCTTATCTTTCTCCTTTTATATCTTCTGGTAGAACGAGACGTAATTACATTAAAATCCATGCACGCAAGCAAAAGTATAAAAGTTCTATAATACCTTATCTAGCAAATATACTCTGTGACGAACAGGTTGTTAGAGTTAATCTAGCCCATAACCTGCATTCTTAACATGACTTTAATTTTGAATGTTGTACTGTTTCTCAGATATTTTTTTTTTAAACTTTTTTTTGTCTTTGTTACTGTTTTTGTTTGCTTAAGTAACTTGTTGAAATATCCTGTGCTGAGAATTCTATATTGTACCAAAATATAATATTAAATAAAGCCATTAATAATAATAATAATAATCATTCTTTTAATAATTTAAATAAAGTATGAGGATATCAGCTGTTCCGATAAATATGGTTTAATTTTTTTTTGACATTTCATTGGTTTTATCGATTTAAAAGATCAAACTAGTTTTATCTACGTCTACTTGAAAATGTTTCTTGGAACATTGTTATGCATATAATAATGACAATAATAATAATAATAATAATAATAATAATAATAATAATAATTATTATTATTATTATATAGTTTGCATTTTAATATGCGGAAGATGTATTATCCATCAGTTCTATTTCTTTCTTTCTTTGAATAAATAAAGATAATAACATTTGTTATTCTTTTCTTTTTACATTAACTCATTACAGATTCGTGCACGTTTACTTGATCGCTACTATAATCCATACTTTAAATCTCCGCCTTTATGGGCTTGTTTAAGTTTGGGATCTCATGAATTAATGAATTTTCAAACATCAAATCTCGACTATAATTCAGTTCCTGAAGTAGTGGTAACAAGTAAAATTGAAAATAAATTGAATGTATCACAAAACACCTGTGTGCTGGTCGCTTCAACAGTCTCACTTGAACTAAATAATTTATCACCGAATAATAATAATAGCAGCAAAACTCGAGATGTATTAATTTTGTCTTCACCTTCCAACGCAATCACTTCCAAATTAAATGATGATAATTTAATGGATAACAACACACTACTAACTTATGCTAGTGAAGATCAAAAACATTCTTCAATAATTAAACCTGATAATACGGTGGAAAAAATGGCCGATGACGATAATAGCGTCAATAGCAGTAGTGTTCATCAAGGGAAAAATAGTGGTATGTTTTTGCCTTTTGTCTGTATGTACGTTTGTATTTGTGTGCGTCGGTGATAAATGATGTTCTTTTTAAAAAAATCTCATTACCAGAACCATATTGTCCCATTTTAGCTTTATTGTTTCCTATTTAAATATATTTTGTCCTCAATAGGTATTATTAGTTGATTTAATCCTCATTTCTAGTGTATAGGATTGAGCTACTTTTTGAATTATTTCTCACCTATGTGTGCTCGTGTGTGGGATTATGATTTATCAATAACATCAATGTATTATAGTATTGGGTATATAAAAATGCTGAGATCCTATTGCGAATGTGGATCCCAACACGATGGATATTGTGGTTTTTGTTGTGATGTCTGCGAGTGGTTTTCGCTGGACCGTATGACTGGATTATGAAGAAATTAAGGTTGTCACTTTTCATGTTAAATCATACAGCTGCATACACTAGTCGCTGAATTATATATATATATATATATATATAATCCATGCGTAGTTGATTATGGAACAGTTTGCTGGAAGGTTCTTATACACAAGCTACGAAATTCGTCCTTTACGATATTGCGCGACCATCTATTGTCTGCGATTGATAACTGTCACACCCTGTACGACTGAACTCCACTGATTGTGGCTTCTTACTAGAGCTCCAGACATTGCATCTTCAAGCTAACACCCTATTCTGACAATAGTCATGTGCTCCTTAGTCACTAACTTCAAGATACAGTCCCTGGTGCTTTAGTGAAAAGCCATGACCAATGGAGTTCGACCGTGTTGATGTGAGACAGTTATCTACCGCAAGCAATGGAAGATGGTCGCACAATATCGTGAATTGATTGAATTTAGAAATACACACCACTGGATGCCGACTTAGTGGTCTGGAGATTAAGCGTTCATACACAAGACTGAAGGTTCTGGACTCGATTCCCTGTTTCTGGGTCGCGAATTGCCACTTCTTAGGAGTCAGTTTCTTAATAGAACGAAACATCTGTCCAGTGCTTCCAGGTTTCCATTGATGGTCTAGCTAAGATTAACTCATGATGTAAACTATGAAAATAAATATTATTTTCTACAATTTGTTTAGTTTACTGGAGCAGCTGTGATTGGTCATAACTGCGTCATTAGTTGTGCAAAAACAGAACTTCATTTCTATTGAGTCACTTGATAACAGAAAATGAATTTTCGCTGAAAGAATATTAGAACATAATAAACTAGTTTTGACCAAAGTTTGAAGAGTATTGTAGAGCTGATAGTTTATATGTATTACGTTATGGTCATCACCATGGATGATATATATTTGCAGAAACAAATTCGGAATTTGAACCATTTAGATATTCGGAAAGAGTTTACTGTTTATAGAGAAGAGGTTTTAACTTGGAGGTTAGTGCAATCGAATTTCGACTAACTGATCACAAGTTCTAACCATACTTCATCCACTTGAGTTTGCTCCGGCAAGGCGAGACAATAACATCAGCAAAAATAAAAGCCAACGTATCTGGTACCATTATTGTCTAGTTTACAAGAATCAACGTAATTATTTTCGAGGTTAACCTGGAATGAACAAAAATGTCCCCATTTATGGTTATTGTTCCCTCCAACACATTTAATTGGAATACTTTACTATTGATATGTTCAAGGGATTAAGATATCATCTAGGACCGGCGAACAGGACGAAAGTTAGCAACACAACAACAGAACAGTGTAAGCTATTCCACTACACCCTATCCCTACTAACTAGAGGAAGAAAACCAGATTCAGCCGGGAAAATATATAGTTCCACAAGCAACCTGGAAGAGCGAACAATAAACACTCAACTGATGCGTATATATAAAACACAAAAATGTTCTTGGAGAATGTTACAAAGTAGCGTACTAAAAGGAAAGATGAACCGATGACATTTAAGATCCTTCTGGGTGGGAAGCACAAACTGAAGGTAAAAATGAGTACTTCTCGCGCGAAAATGAGAAATTCGAGTTCCTGTAATTAAATTACAAAAATGAACGGTTTATCAAGTGATTTCTGGGGATCCAATATCTCCAGCAACCATCATTATAATCTACACATTGCCTGGCAGTCATTTCTACCCTGCAATCACTAATGAATCCTCTCAACAATTTCATCTCTTGTAGGCAATAAACTATAAAATCTTTGAGACCAACAGTATAACGACCTCAGGTATGTATGTGTTATTTTGATATTCACCGCAACCTTGAGATAGCTTACTCAAATCTCATCAACTCGTCCATAGATTTATATTCTCATTCCATACTCTGAATAGCTATCATTTCACATGTAAAATGCATTCACTACTCGTATTACGTGGCTTCCTTCCTCCCTCCTTAAAAATGTGATCATTTATATTATAACCTACCAACCCGATCGAAGCTGCTACCTTGACGCGGTGGTCGGGCTTGCCTATCGTGATGACCCAACCGAGCTATATTGGCTGGAACATATGTTCCTGCAGGTTCTACCATGCCAGGCAGGTCGATTGGCGAACGGTAAGACTAAAAGCAGCAACTCAAGGTCTGAGGGCGAAGTCGTACTGCTGACTGTAGAGAGGTGTGACAGCAGTAAGGTGTTTCCCTCGGACAACCAGCATGACAGCGATGCTGCCTTCCCACAAGGAGGGGTGGGGTTAGAAAAGGTCGACCCTAAAAATGCACACCTCACCTTACCTCACGGATTTCCGTCTCCGGCGGTAAGGCCCCTTGAAGAACGGAGCTAACACGTCAAAAACCTTCCACAAAAAGGCCGTGCGCGACCGGCCTCAAGCAGTTGTCCCTTGGGCTCTGCGGTCACGCTCCCAGGTCGTCAAGACCAACACTAATCCAATTTCCTTTTCAGGTTCATCAAGAAATACCCTTCCACGGTGTGGGCAGCCGGGAAGTGACATCAGCCCTCATACCCGTAACAGCACAAGAGACCAAGGTGGTCACATTCAAATCCTTCCTACACCTCCTAATACCTCTCTTATCCTCCCGACTAACCCTCCTCACGTCTCTTTATCATCTCGCACCGCTAGGGCAAACGATTCGAGTACGTGGAACGCTATTCCTGGTCTCCTGAAACCACGCTCTAAACTACATATAGGAGCTTTTAACGTACGAACACTTTGCCAAATAGGACAGCAGGCTTCCCTAGCTAAAACTTTAGAATCTCGCGCCATCGATGTGTGCTGTGTCTCCGAAACGCGCATACAGGATCCAAGTAGCGTCATTCATTTGACCTCACCATGCCAAAATAAAGAACCGACTCGATTTACGCTTCGTGTATCTGGAAGCCCTGATTCTGCTTCCCGTGGCCTCGCCGGCGTAGGTATAGCATTGAGTCCTAGGGCAGAACTAGCTCTCTTAGAGTGGATCCCAGTAAACAGTTGTTTGTGCGCTGTCCGACTGAACGGAACAGTAAGAATCCGGAAAGATAGGGACACTCGTCGTTGCCTCTTCGTCGTCTCTGCCTATTCTCCCACTGACTGCAGCTCAGATGATGTAAAAGATGAGTTTTACAGAAAGCTTTCGGACCTTCTCCGAAAAGCTAAGCGCTCTGATGTAGTAATAGTGGCCGGTGACTTTAATGCTCAAGTAGGTAAACTAAGCGATAAGGAAAGACACCTAGGTGGATCCTATGGTGTCGTGGCTCAAAGAACAGATAATGGCGACCGTCTGTTGCAGCTATGCTCAGATAACCGCCTGTTCCTTGCAAATACTAACTTTAAGCATAAGGAAAAACATCTTTTAACATGGCGACCCCCTAATTCGTCCCAACGTTGGACCCAAATAGATCACATCGCTATCAGCCACCGATGGAGGGGCTCGATAGAAGACTGTCGCTCATTCTGGAGCACATGCCTAGATTCAGATCATGCTCTAGTGCGAGCGCGTATTTGCTTGCGTCTTACTGGACGTAGGAAAGATCCTGCAAGGAAACCTCTTAGGGCCTACTTAATGATAGTCAAGCTAAGAATATATTTCAGGAACAACTAGGAAAACAGTTAGGCAGCCATGTATGTGATGCCCACCCCGAGGCAGCATGGAACAATATCCGAAAAGCTGTGGAAACAGCAGTGATATCTGCTAGTAAGGTAAACCGTAAAGTTAGGGAGCAACACTGGATCTCAGCAGCATCTATCGCACTGATAGATGCTCGAAAACTCATTCCACCTGGCTCTGAACATAATGAAGAGCGGAGTCAGCTTAAGCGCAAGCTGACAAGAAGTCTACGCAATGATCGCGAACAGTGGTGGGTAGCGAAAGCAAGAGAGATGGAAAAGGCAGCGGCAATAGGTAATAGCAGACAATTGTTTAGACTCGTTAAGGAAACCGGAATTAGGAACCCGACCGTTAGCGAAACACTGTCAGAGAAAGAAGGACATATTATACATTCTCAATCCAGGAGATTGGATCGATGGGCAGAACACTTTAGGGATCAGTTCAACTGGCTTTCAGCCACACTTCGGTTTCCCACGATCTCCAGTCAACCTGAATGGCAAGTTAATGTAAGTCCTCCGTCCCTTTACGAAGTTGAAAAAGCCATAGGAAATCTGAAACGAGGGAGAGCAGCAGGCCCTGACAGGTTTACTCCTGAGATTTTTAAGGATGGTGGTCCAGTATTAGCAATGAGATTAACTGAGGTCTTAGGTAGAATTTGGGAACTGGACGTAATCCCATCTGACTGGTCTCAATCACTGATTGTGCCAGTCTATAAGAAAGGACAAAAGTCCTCTTGTGACAATCACAGAGGAATCAGTTTGACTAATATAGTGTCTAAAATATTAGCCTCAATAATACTTCGACGCCTAACTGAAGCTCGTGAAGAGCAGACTAGAGAAAACCAGGCTGGTTTTCGACCTGGACGTGGTTGTATCGATCAGATATTCACACTACGTCAGGTTCTAGAACAGAGACACACATTCAGACGCCCCACAATGGTAGTATTTCTCGACCTTAAGGCGGCATTCGACTCCGTTGATCGTGAGGTTCTATGGCAGTGTTTGTCACTGAAAGGAGTACCAAAGAAGTACATTAACCTTATAAAGGCTCTCTACTCGAACACAACTGGTAGAGTGAGAGCTTATGGCGAACTGTCATCAGAATTGATCACCTCAAGTGGTGTTCGTCAGGGCTGCCCACTCACTCCATTCTTGTTTAACTTTGCCATTGACGTACTTTTAGAGATAACACTTTCCTCATTTAAATTTCCAGGGGTTGAACTTCTACCAGGAGATTCACTTGTTGACTTCGAATATGCGGATGACATAGTTTTATTTGGCGAAGACGCTGACAAAATGCAGAGTCTTCTGACCACTCTAAGCAACAATGCAAGCATGTTCGGGATGCGATTCTCTCCCTCGAAATGCAAAATGTTGCTTCAGGATTGGGTTACATCGACACCCGAACTAGTGATAGGGAGTGAAGTAGTTGAGTGTGTCGACCGCTTCACTTATCTTGGAAGTCTCATCAGCCCTTGTGGTTTGGTGTGTGACGAAATCTCAGCACGGATACAGAAGGCTCGACTAGCTTTTGCCAACTTGCGTCATTTATGGCGTAGGCGAGATATCCGTCTATCAACCAAAGGACGTGTTTACTGCGCAGCAGTTCGTTCCGTCCTACTTTATGGCAGTGAAACATGGCCGGTAAGAGTAGAGGATATTCATAGGTTACTAGTATTCGATCATATGTGTCTTCGAAACATTGCTCGTATATCCTGGGACCACCAAGTAAGTAATACAGTTGTTAGGAAACGGGTACTAGGTAAGGATGGCAAATCAATTGATGAAGTAGTGAAACTTCATCAGTTGAGATGGTTTGGATACGTGTTACGTATGCCCAACCACCGACTGCCTCGACGTGCGATGTTTTATGGTGTAGGAGTAGGTTGGAAGAAAGTTAGGGGCGGCCAGAACAAAAGATGGCACAAGTCCATGAAGTCACTGACAAGTGAACTGAGTCATGTTGGTAGGTGTAGACTACCTGGTTGGGGACCGCGAGATGACAGCAACCGATGGTTAGAGACCCTGAATGACATGGCTCAAAATCGTTTGCAATGGCGCAGGTGCATCCACTCTCTGTGTTCTCCCAAATTCTAACCTTCTGAATTCTTCATGTCCCTTTTTTCCTCTTTCCAAATTTATTTCACTGTATTATACTCTTTAAATAACATCTCCAAACCCTAATCTTCCCGATTACTGCTTATACTCTTATTACCTCTATCACTACGGGATTTGAATCGACAAGTCCATCTCTGTGCTAATGTGGTGTGGCAACTCGAACTGATGTACGTACGTACGAAGTTCTACGTTGTTACTGACTGACTGACTGATAACCTACCAAATTGTTTTCACTCTGTACATTCATTATTTATTTATTATTGTTGAAAAGCTTGATCAACTTCATTCTGTTTATATACCTAGATCTGGATAAATAATTATGCTTATATAGTCATGATGATAGATTATGATATAATCTCTTTTATTATTCTCTAAGTAACTAAATAAAAGTCAACAATCCAACTGTTATGTTGTTATTAATATTTTTCCCTTCCTTTTTGTGGTTTCTTTCAGATATATGTCCTAATTCCAATAATACAACAGATTCATCAGATGTAGATAATATTGGTAAATTATCTGAGAATGATAAACAATATGCTCCGGCCAATAATGGCAACAATAATAATACCCTTTGTTCGTTTGATCCACTATCGATTAGTGAAGATACAGATACTTTATCTGACTCAAAAGTAGGTTTTGTTAGCTCATAAGATTTGATTATTTCGTTTATATAAATATTTCTTAGGAATAAGATAAATTAGTACACTCATATTTGTGTTTTTCGTGAAAATTTTAACTCAGCGAACATGGTAGAAGCTCTCGATAATTCAGCGGAAAATAGTTTCCGGAATCTATGAGAAATGCTAGAAAAATTAGGACAACCAATCAGTGCTCATATAAAATCATGAAAATAACGTTGGTTTTGGTAGATAACAATATTCAAAGTTGAGCTTCTTCTATACAACACGCCTTCTGTTTTCTTTTCGATTTTTAAGAGTGGAAGACTTCTGAGGATTAATAAGTCTTTATCTAGATGTTCAAACATGTTATCCATCAGTAAAATCTCTTGTTTAGTATTTTATCAGAAGGTTTATCTATTGATGACTTTCAGCAGAACTAAGACATGTTGATGGTAAATAAAAATATTGACTACCGTATCTCTTTTAATGTATAGTGATTGCTCACTGTGTATCAACCAACGTCTTCTTTGTCTAGTTATTAGCACTGACGAAGTTTCATCGATCAAATCTCACTATGGTCACTGTCGTCCTATGTGATTTCACACTTGGTGTTCTAGATTTTAATATTAGATGTTGATAGTATTCTGTAAGAAATCCTGACAATACATTGTATGCTAGTTCGGATTCGTTAGAAAGATGTATCTACAGTGTAGATAACGTTTGTTTGGATTCTACTGATTTTTGGTAATACGATGTTGATTGAGTTAATTAACGTATCACTCTAATTGATTTTCATAATTGTGTAAAGTCAATGTTTCACTGCATCCTAATTTAGTCAATACAGAATTTTAATCCCTAATCAGCCACACTGTTGTAATTGAAAATCCAGGTGAGGACAACCAGAATGTCTTAAAATATGAGGACCATACACTGAATACTTCACTTTCGAATTTCCATCATTTGTCTTTCACATTTTGTATGATTCTTCCAGTTGACAATTCCTTTCTATTATCTTCAACTTGATCTTCTTAACCTTCTGCTGCCAGGTTTTCCTTTTCCGATGGGTGTTACATACTGTTTATGTCGAGTAACATAAGTAGCATACACCACGGTACTACTTAAATATTTTTATACAAACAAATGTAACTATTATAAGGGCTTAATTGATTTTACAAAATTATTTTACAGTAGTTGAGATGGCGAAATAGTTATTTTATCTACTGAACTAACTCTATGCGCAAAACAAGAAAGATCTCCGCATACAGGACAACTTACCAAGTGACGATGTATTATTAATAATGAAGCCGATGGTAGTTATCATTGATTTGTGGGAGGGCTGTGATACTGCCCGGTCTTTTAAACCGAAGCAGGGAACAACTTAGGAATAGTAAGTCGTAAAATCGTAGTCAACAGTTCAAATAAAAGCTTATGATAAAAAGAATATAAATATTTATAATCTAGTTACTTAACAGTTATACAATAAGAATATATATAATAACAGTCTATAAATAGTTCTCGGAAGTTACTGATAGGTTAATCACCTGGGGGGTATAACAGGTTCTTAATTTATGTTTTTCATATAAACTTTTCTGTATGCATATTCTAAGCTCACTTAACTCATATATATATATATATATATATATATATATATATATATATATATATATATATATATATATATATATATATATAGGCGTGGCCTGTTTATGTGTTACTACAAATTTTCTGCAAAATGAATAACAATTATTGAAAACCATTTTTCATTCCTATCGATTTAACGTATATTGGATAATTTAGAACAAATAGTTGGTTGATTATTTCTTAAGCATGTGATGATTGAATAATGGATTTTGCATTTTCAAAAGTAAATTCGTTCAATAGGCCACAGACCATACGTTTTGTGTTTAATTAAATCTAATACTGAATTGTTTCCAATCGTTCCAATTCTTTCATCGTCCACTTATGTTGGATTTTGGGAACAAAATGAAATTGCATGAGGCTAAGTCTTTGTGTCGGAAAAATTTCCATAACTCTTAAGTATTTTGCCAAAAATCGTGTATGCGCGGGTGATTTTCTCAAATTTATTTAGACAGTTGATTGATAATCGAGAGTGACAAGAGACTGTACGTGTTGTATATTTTCATAAAGACGGGAAATAGTCGTTGCTAATAGCTTAGTTTGAATATTTATCGAACGGATCATGTAAAATACATTGTTTTATGTAGAAAACTGTCATTCTACAAATCTAACATAAAAATTTGGTTTTTTTGTTAGTGTTTTTCCATCAGGTTTATTTTTCTCTTACACGCAATCGTATTAACTGATAATTATATTCATAACTTTCTATTTTTCCAATTTTTTTCTTTTTGATCAACAACAATCAGCTGGATAATTTACACTGTACTACTCTGTATGATGTTCGCAGAAAAATATCGCGTCATTTGAACACAACTTATACTACTACTAGTGCACCGGAAACAACTAGCAGTGATAATTCACCTGCTGTTACGCGTCGTTTGATACTGATTGGTGCTAAATCATCCGAAGCTCAAACAACAGAAAGTAGCGATGGTGGTGGCGGTTGTGGAGTGATTGCTGAACGTTACAAACAATTGTCGTCGACTTTATTGGATCCAGTGATAATTAATAATAATAATAATAATAATAATAATAATAATAATAATAATAATAATAATAATAATAATAATAATAATAATAATAATAGAATTTCTTTATACGGAACTGATATTTCAGATGAAAGTAAAGATTATATTCAATGTAGTGATAATGTTAGACAAGTTTCTACAGTAGATGACAATGTCATACAATCACCTTTCTCTTCATTCTCTGATGATGAAGTTGATGATGGTGATGACGATGAGGATGATGATGACAATGAATGTATTCCTTCTGAGATAGTTACAAAACAATCTGTTGCTAATAATATGGGAGTTAGTAATGAAAATAATAATACTAATAATAGTTTACGGACAAATTTCTTTCAGTCTGTGGTATGTTCTATAATTTGTAGATATTTTTATTTATTGTATTATTGTTTGTTAATTGTTATCGATTAACTCTGAAGTTGTTTAATAGTTCTGTAAGTTTGTTTAGGTGAAACATACTAGTGAGCATGTTGTAAACCAATGATTTAACTAATCGACTATTAGCAGTTTTGGTTAGCGGGTTCGAACTGCTGTACATTTGCTCTAGCTTGTATGCTTTGTAGCTTATACAGGCTGTTTTAGCAAGTTTGTTCTTGGTTGTTGATGTCTAATTCTTAATGCTGATCAATTTCTATGGATTCTATATGACGTGACATTGTATACACCGTTTTTTAAGTGTTAACTGGTTGAAGGCAGTTGGCGAGAAATCTTGAACCGAGGTTTCATGTTCCAATTAAATATCATCAGCTAAGCGTACTTATGATCATGAATATTATCAATAACCACCGACTTCTTTTATCCCGATTGCCATCTTTGCCTTAGTGCAGTTTCCAAAATTTCAAGATAAATAATAGTACGATGTAGACGTATGTTTATACAACTGAAAAATTGTTTTAAATCAGGACTATTTTTTTATCGTTGAATGGAATTAAATTTATTTAGCCTCCATGTCTTATTTAGATGATAATGGTATTTTCTCTTTTTGTCATTTTAGCCAAACAATACTTATATCCATTCAGGATCTAATTATGAATCTAGAAATAATTCAAAATTTAATTTCACATCAAAAATTTCAACGTGTTCTCTTCCTATTAGAAATTTATCTACTGCAACAGGTCCATATCGTTTACGCATAGGTTGGCATTCACATCTTAAACGTCCACCACCACAACCTTTATCCGATTCAATGGCTTTTCATGCATTTCAATTAGCTGAAACAATTCGTGAATGTGCTGGTGGCCCAAGTACCAGTGGATCTATGTTTGTAGCTGAAACTGAAGCAAACGATACTGTTCATCGTAACCTCCAATTAATATCATTTCAAGTTAGTTTATTTTAGTGTTATGTAACTAAATTTGTCTCATTATTTGTTAACTAATTTACTTGAACTATTAAAGATATTAACTTGTTTCGAAATAACTTGGAGATCTCTGATAAATATTAAATATACAATTAACATGTTAAGAAATATGTGCTACAGTGCTAAGAGGTTATCATTGAATGATTAGAAATCTCAACTTTCAATTGGCAAGTTGTATGTTTGAATCCTAGTCCACTTACTCCGGTTTTGTTAGGAAGCTAGCTGGATGGTATTACTAGCTTCTCAAAGTCGAGTACATAAAACTTGGCGAACAATCTACATAGTAATATGCAATAGGAATGTTCATATTTTTTCAGTCAAAAGTTGTAACTTTGTTATGAGAGTCATATTCATTGTATGATTCTTTACAGTTTACTCTGGAGAATGTGAAAGTTTATAATTAACTTCTCAGTTTTCAATAAATTTATTGTGATGTTTGCTCAAGTAAGTCTGTCTTTTGTAGAGGGATTATGCCTTATGTTTTTTCCAATGTAAAATTCACCTGTTCTAAAACAGCGTTTATAATTTAGAAGTTTTCATCATAACCTGTATGTATTTGGATTTTTGTGTTGATGTTCACAGTAAGATTGAACTCCAGTACACATAAACTTACCTACCTGACTACTTAGACTATTAAGTCCAGATAGTTATTAACTGAAAATTATTATATCTTTACTAAGATATTTTATATCTTTTTTGTTTTTCATTTTTGACAGAATTTTTAAAAAAAGAAATAATTTCATTTTATTATTTTAGTTAGGACTTTATGGCTTAGGCTTATTCAATCGTCTTTTGCCTTCTTGGCGAAATCGTACATTCTCAAGAAACGGTGGATGGATAAGTCAACAAGTATTTGAAATCGGTATACCGGCTGCTTGTATTTTATATCATTCTTGGCAACAACATCTTACAGCTGCAGAACTAACCGCTATCTCATTTCAATTATCAAGAACAAACAATCGTTCTGTAAGAAATATGGATTATTTTTCAATTTTTTTCCTTATAAAGTTCAATGTTTTATTCAAATAAATAGTGATTAACAGATTGTAAAAGGATTTTTTTCAGAAAAGTTTGGTTTTATAATTTTTAACTTTTCATTTTCAGCCTGTTTATTACTTGTTCATCGTTATTGAAAATGCACAGATTATAATAAACAAATAAATATTTTTTTGCTATATCTCAATGAATAGAAAATTTGTATTTCTGACGTTTCTCCACTCCTACGAAAGTGGCTTACATTAAGTCGCGAAAGATATATATATATATATATATATATATATATATATATATATATATATATATATATATAATCACTTGCTTTCTACCCAATACTCAATTTATTTGAAACTATGAAGTCCAACCTTAGCATTGATACTTATAATTGTACAGTTTATGTTTGAGAAAATTTTGGCCAGTTGTTATCTATAGTAATGTTTTGGCTTAGTGGTTAAAACTCAGTCTTCAACTGCTGTATAATTGTTGGTTAAAAACTACGGTTCATCTGTTTCTGTTTGGACAATTGTGTAATGACAATAGATCATACCATCTAAAATGATAGGGGACGTCAATCAATCTTATGCGAACGAAAATATAACATGATATAAGAAGAAAAGCTAAACAATACCTACAAAATAAACTGTTCCAATTTCACATCAAAATAGTCGCTCTCTCCATTTTCCTTTGCATGGACACCCATTTGCTGTCAAATGCTATGATGTGTCTTCGCTTATATCAATTCACATGAACAGTTGTGGACACAAATTTGACTGAAGAATCATTTAGATTTCGGACAAAGGAAATACAAAGAAGACTATAGAATCTTCATAATCTGGGAACTCGGGTCAATCAGTAAACACATCAAAGGCGATCCAATTTATCAGGTAATTAGAAAAAAATATGAATAAATTTAGAATCGAGAATCAGCTTGATGAGAAGGACAATTCAAATAAATATTCAAATAATTACATGACAATCATGTTCATGGCAGACAGGACAACCTGTTAGTCGTACGCGAAGAAGTTCAACTAACATACAATATCGAATCACTTAGACTAGTAATCACATTGCAATTTGGTCGATAGGATTCGAACACTAAAAACAACTTGACATATATGAGACTAGTCACTACTCAGTGATCGTTTAATTGTAAATACATTTCATTTATACAAGAGGTTGATCGCGACCCGGCTAGCTGATTAGTAACATCTCTAATTTTTGAGCTGGATTATACGGAATCGAATCTTCTGGGGAGTACTGTTTCCTCCAAGATTACAGGTACACCTTACTGACAAGTGTCAAATAGCTCAAACGTTATGTCCAGGGTTTCCTCCAACCACCACCACCACCATACTTTACATTCTACATGGTTTAATAATGGACTAATTTTTGTTTTCTAAAAATAATTTATTTATCTTCTTAGTATGCTTTAAATTGACTCATGTTTTTTTTAAAAAAATTGTTTTGCATAGCTTGTTGATGTTGCTGCAGAGTTATGTCTTGCCAGTTTATCATTATGTACAGCGTTAAAACCACAAGAATTATACAGAGCATTAGAACAATGCGGTGAACATTCAAGTAATACTTTAGAACGTGGTTTATTATGCGTTGAACGTAGCGCTTATCAATCATCACATGATATTTTACCAGAGATATATTTTTTTATAGCAAGAAGTTGGTATACTTTATATCATTCAACCAATAAAGAATTTGAACAAGCACTGAATTCATTGGAATCCTTTAATAATTCCAATCAGTCATCATTGAAAATCCGAAATGATAACGAGAATTTATCCACGTTTAATAAAAATAATACTACAAATACAATTTTATCTGACTCAAATATTCATGTTTATCCTAATTTAACGAATTCAATTCAGGAATTGACTAATAACGATATTAATAATAATAGCAGTGTCACTAATAATAATAGTGATATTAGTAATAATGCTACTATCAATACCGCTATCACTACTACTACTATTAATAATAATAGTAATAATTCTATCACAGAAATGTCATTAGTTTCAGATTCGAACCATGCAACTAGTGATAATAAAAGTAACAATAATAATTCTAGCAATGGTATCAATTTAACCAGTAATGATTTAGTTAATGCTTGGTATTATTATCAGTCGGTTAATTTATTGTCACAACCGATTGTACGAGGTGATCAACAACCTCATCATCAGCATCAAGAGCAACCAAATCAATTGATGTATAATGCCTCCATGTTGTCCCCTGTGAATTTTAATTATGGTGGTCTCCCACTTGGTCAACAACAACATCAATACGCATCATTTCCTTATTATATGAATATGCTCGGTTTACAAACACCTCAGTCATTATCACAACAACAGACAAATAATAATTTATTGAAAAACAATAACCCACAATTACAGTCTACAACACCACCAACACAACGACAACAGTCTGCTCATCCACCACCTCATCATCATCATTTACCGTATTATTTGCCGCAATCTCAACATATAATGTCACCGATCCAAGTAAGAAGTTTTCTTTATTAATAGAAAATATTTTTGTTTAGTTTATGGGAAAAGTTAGATTAGTATGTTTTATAGATGCTTGATTTTTTATTCTGTACGATGAAATTTGAACCAGAAATTGATAATATCAAATTTAACTGTTGTTGTATAGCGCAGTTAATCCGTAGTTGATGGATGGGAGGGGGCAACTTTTGATGAACAATGCATTTGAGCTTCTAACTACCGGGTGTATTATGCGGTAATGATGTTTCCTGTGTAGTATCTGATCTACTTAGCCCGTTATTTCATAAACGAATGAACTGAAGAGCGATCGATCTTTATCAAGGCTTGAATTAATCTTTTCTCATATTAATGTTAGTTGATTATTATGGTTTTTTGCCTGTTATCCACTTTTTGGTATTGTTATTCGTTATGCTGTCTTGTCCCTCAAGACTTTTTGTTCTCATTTTAAGTTAAACATTTTGTAACTCTAGTTTCTATATTTACTTTTAATATCTATCAACACTAATATCTGAGGTGTTGGTCTGGAGATTATCTACAAGTTGATATAATTATAACATATTGGGCTATGAATACCTACCATGCAAAATAGGAATTAGTTACTATCCATGTGTATTTATTCACAAATTTAGTCGAACTTTGGAAAAACTGCCCATCCAGAACATTGCTACTTATTCATTTATCATTACTTTTAACAATTTCACTAATAAATTGTTCATGCTCAAAAAGCTATTCTTATTATCAGTGTATACTAATTTTACATTTTTTTGTGCAATCAATTCAGTCTAATGTACCGTACTCATTTGGAATGTCATCTCTACCTCCAATGGGACCAGTACAATCGCCTAGTAATTACTTTTTACATCCACAGTTTATTCCAAATACTCCTCTTCCAACACCATCATCTCAGTCAATGAATATGATTCCAAGTGGTCCATTTGTCACTATTCCACATCATATAAATCCATCTACTTCACTGTCTCCAACTGTTGGGACTAACGTTCTGCGTAAGTAATGTGTATTCGTTTTAATTAAACTGACAATAATAGTAATAATAATAAGACGACTCAATGAAATCATTATAGTTGTGTAATGGTGTTTTATTATCATGGAATTATTTGAAGATTTCGACTTGTAAGCTGTATTATAAGACAGCTTATGGAATATAGTACAAACGAAATGACTTTTTAAGTATATTTTTGAAGTAGGTAGTTTTCAACCAATCAGCTGGCCATTCCTGATTAGACTCTTAACACAACCGTAGTTTTCAATATGCTTAGTCGTTTTACATTTTATTTTCTAACTAGGTAGGTGCCCCCGAATGCCCTGGTACGGCCGAGAGTGGGGAGAGTCCGCTCTCCCTCTCGAAATACTCTCACACGGCCACGCGTATACAGCCTCTGTCAGGGTAGTCCTACTCATTGCCTTCTCGTCGCGGGGGTGTTGTTTACGAAAATGAGAGGATGAGAAGCGAATGTCCGGCGCTTTAACCGGATCACAAATCAATGGTTCACATGGGCTCCAGTATCCTGCGGGAACAAATGGCGTATGAACCAATCGTTGGTCACCGGCTACCATGGGATTGCATCTCCTTACGATGCTCCACTGCCTTGTGGGTTAGACCTTTAGGTCAAAGGCACGGGGAGTGGCCCCCTAAGATAACCACCTGCTTCGGTTTGGGCACCCGGGCAGTATCACAGCCCACACACAAATTGATGAACTCTCTATGCCTAAGGAAATTACTTTTCTTGCTTCGAAAAACAAGCAGTTGATTCAAATTATTATCATTACAATTATTGTCATTATTAATACTATTATTATTATTACTATTATTGTCATTATTATTATTATTATTATTATTATTATTATTATTATCCACATCATTCACCCTCTTTTATACTTATACAGCGGCTCGTCTTTGGTGGAAATTCGACTGTATCTAAACGTTCTCGAGTCACTGTCCGGTTGAAAATTGTATGTTACCATCGAATATGAGTACTGAGACAGTTTTTCTGAAAACACGTGCACCATTCAAACTGGCTGCCTTCAACGTTCGCACATTTATGCAGGTTGGACAACAGATAGGGCTGGCTATGTCTTTGGAAAGTCTTAATATCGATGTCTGCTGTCTATCCGAGACCCGTATTGAAGACTCTGGTGAAGTACCACAAATTCGCTCTACATCTGTCACTTCATAAAGCTTGTTTTACGTGCGCTTATCCGGGGACCCTGTGGCATCTTCGTCTGGTCTTGCTGGCGTTGGTGTCGCACTAAGCGCTAGAGCTGAGGCAGCACTAGTCGATTGGATCCCCATTAACAGTCGGTTGGTTATGTGCTGTTAGATTAGAAAGTTCCATCAAAGTGAGAAGAAATCAGCGTGAGAAACGATGTCTTTTCGTGATCTCCGCCTATGCCCGACAGATTGGAGCCCGGATGCAATCAAGGATGAGTTTTACCATGCCTTGGTCTGCGCCAATCTTGCCTTACTTTTCAGTGGACAATGAAGTGACCGCCATCAACGGATTGATATTAGCAAGCTGGTTGCAACTTCTGTTGCAAGTAAGTATCGAACCGAGCTAGCCTGTAGGCTAGCTACCACCTCACCGAAAAGTGTAGATGAGCATTGGTTGCAATTGCATGACGCCATGAAAATGGCGGGTACAGTCAGTTTTGGGTTCGCGAAACGTCCCGCTTATAAGCACTGGGTTTCTTCAGGTTCCTTACAACTCATTGAAGCCCGTCGGTCTACTCCGGGTGACCGTGAGTTTGACCATAAACGAAGGATGTTACGTAAGGAAATCGAACAAAGCTTGCGTAAGGACCGAGAAGCCTGGTGATCGAAGCGTGCTAATGAGCTGGAAGCAGCAGCTGCATCTGGTAGCTACCGGAAGCTCTTCCAACTCATCCGAGCCACTGGCAGCAAGAAGTCTGGTGTGAGTGAAACAATCTGCGAGGATGATGGGATGCCAATCACTAACATCCATCGACGTCTTAGACGATGGGCAGAATTTTTCGAAGGGCAGTTCAACTGGCCTGCTGCTCCGGCAACATCGGTCAGACTGTCCTGGCCTCCATGGCCGGTGACGACTGATCCACCAAACGAGGAGGAAGTCCTCAAGGAACTCCAACTCTTGAAGTGTTACAAATCAGTTGGCCCAGATAACTTACTTCCGGCTCTTTTTAAAGATGGTGGTGACTTTTTGACTAAGGAATTGACGACGTTGTTTACAAAGGTTTGAGAACTAGAGAGTGTACCAACGTCATGGAATGAGTCGATAGTTGTCCCTATCTTTAAAAAGGGTTCACGTCGTTCCTGTAACAACTATCGGGGGATAAGTCTACTTCCGATTGCGTCCAAGCTATTGGCTTCCGTCATACTTCGTAGGTTGTTCAAAACCCGAGAAAGATTGACTCGCGAGGAGCAGGCTGGGTTTCGTTCTGGTCGAAGATGTATTGATCATATCTTCACCCTCCGCCAAATGTTAGAACACCGCCATATTTATCAAAGGCCAACAATCGTAGTGTTTCTTGACATCAGGGCTGCCTTCGATTCGTTGGACAGGGCTGTTCTCTGGGATTGTCTATTGAAGAAGGGTGTGCCTGAGAAGTTTATTAACATCCGAAAAGCCCTATATACAAACACCTCAGGAAGAGTGAGGGCATACAACCACCTCTCTCCATTGTTCCATTTGAGCACTGGGGTTAGGCAGAGTTGCCCAATCTCACCATTCCTCTTCAACTTTGCCATCGATGACATTCTGGAAACAGCTCTGATGAATGTAAGTAATAGTGGTGTAAATCTGTTGCCTGGAGAAAGACTTTTCGACCTTGAGTATGCGGACGATATTGTCTTACTCTGCGATAATGCCCAAGGCATGCAATCCGCACTTAATCAGTTGACAATCAGTATCCGTAAGTATGGTATGTGCTTTGCACCTTCGAAGTGCAAAGTACTTCTACAAGACTGGCAGGATTCCAATCCTGTACTTACCCTGGATGGTGAGCAGATAGACGTAGTTGAGAAGTTCGTGTATCTGGGTAGCTGCATAAGTGCTGGTGGGGTGTGAGTGATGAGATCAATGCACGTATAATGAAAGCCAGAGCGGCTTATGCCAATCTGGGCCATCTTTGGCGCCTTCGTGATGTTAGTCTGGCCGTAAAAGGTCGGATCTACAAGGCGTCGGTGAGAGCAGTTTTGCTCTATGCTTGTGAAACCTGGTCTCTCCGAGTTGAGGATGTTAGACGACTCTCTGTGTTCGATCATCGTTGTCTCCGAAGGATTGTTGACATTCAGTGGCAACACCATGTTAGTAATGCAGAGGTTCGGCATCGTGTGTTCGGGCACAGAGATGATAATTCAATTGGTGTCACCATCTTGAAACACCGACTTCGGTGGCTTGGACATGTTCTCCGAATGTCGTCCCAGAGAATTCCACGTCGTGCATTATTTGCCGACTCTGGGACTGGTTGGAAGAAGCGGAGAGGTGGTCAGTGCATGACATGGTGTCGTGGTATGAAAGGAGGCTGCAAAGGACTGGCTTGTATTGGTCCTTCACGACTCCCTGATTGGGGTCTGAGAGATGGTGCAACACAGTGGCTAGAGACGTTATCAGATATGGCTGAGAATAGAAGCCAGTGGCGATCCTGCTGTAATCTTCTTTTACTTTCTTCATAAAAAGTGGTTGTGTCTCCCTTACCTGAAAGATTTCTTCCGATTGTACCTTTCCGTTCCCTCATTACTACCACACTACCTTACTCCAATCTCTTCGTTATTGTTTTCTTCTTTTTTTTCTATTTCTCTTCGAATTTTCATTGTTTTGTGTGGCGTATATATTTTGGCACTCTCTTGTACCAATATTTATGTGTTCAAATGAATAAATAAATAACTAGGTAGGTAGTAAAGCTGATAAAATAGATATCATATTTGAGAAAATGACAACAATATGATAGAAAGTCAATCATAATTAAGTAAGGTCAGTTATCCATACATTTCTCAGAAACTCTAAACATTAGAATTCTTCATTTTGACGTTGTTGTTACTGCATATTAAAACCACATGTTAACCATTTTTGAAAATAATTAATTTTAGCCTGTAATTCGTATCAAGCTTATTCAATAGATCAAGCAATGGAACCATCATTGTATGGTTTTAATCCTGCAATGACCTTACCAGCTGTTCATCAATCCATGGTCTGTAACGTACTTGGTACTCCACCTCAGCCACAAGTACAATTACAGCAACAACAACATCAAACCGTTGAGCCGGTTACGTCATTAGCATCTATAAACACTAATAATAACATACACAGTACTAATAACAATTTTATCAATAATGTTAGTTTGAATACACTATCTGATAGTACAGTTATTTCAGTCAATTCACTATCATCAGTTATATCATCTGCGTTAACATCAACTCGTCAGTTGACAACATCAAATACTGCTTCTAGTTCTGTTGTTGTACATCCATCTATGTCTGATCAAGGATCGATTGTATCTGAAGGTGATTCTTGTCGATTAGCTGAATCTGTAGCAGATGGATTAGGCGATGAAAACAATCCATATTCTAACAATAGTAATTCTTCCGGTGATTTGTCATTGAATAGTAACAATAATAATAAAGAGAAATTGTCAAGTATTACAGCGAAATCAACAGTCAGTGAATTACAAACTTTAAAGTTGAAAGCACAAGCTTATTTAATTCGAGCATTTTTCTGTGCAAAATGTGCCATTAAGAAGATATCAGCTAACCAAGTACGTTTCTTTTCTTTTTTGTTTTGGATTTTCCACTTTTTAACCCCCAGTGCTGACATTTTCGATTATCTGGTTTTATAATGCAACATTATTCCTTAGATATTTACTTATAAATTGTAACTTGGTTAAGAGAATTCAGTTAGGTCTTAATGATATTGGCTGCTACACTACTTAATGATAGACCATTTGTAAATACCTTACTCCTGCAAAAAGTGGTGGTCACTTGCAATGTCTCAGACTGTAAATATGGATGATTAGTGCAAATCCGAATGACTGACTGCAAGGAGTTTCCTACTAATTGCCTGCAACTACTGAACAATATAAATTAAATTGATCCCACTCTACTAATTAGTCGTAATCAGTCATGACTGAATATTAATACTTTCAGGCATTTTAGTAACAATAATTTTTTTAAAAAAAAGTTTGCAGACGGACTATCTTCATGTGAATATTATCAACGTTTACTTGCTATTTACAAAACTCAACTAAATTAGCAACTGGTTGGCGATTAACCAAGGACTATTATAGAACCTTTAATGTTTATCAAACATTCCCTCACTTTTGCGTTAGTTTTCTAAGGCTTTATTTGAATTTTTAAAAAAATATAGTTTATTGTCTTCTGTCTTGATGGAATACTTTAAATAAATTGAAATGATCAGTAATTCTAGTTCTTCTTGTTTCAGTATATTTCTTCTATTATCTACATTACAGTCTAATGTGAATACAAATTTTACTCGTCAAAATCCTGTTACTGTTTCAATGCCATCAAGAAGTATGCGGGGAAAGCATCATCATTATCATATGCAACAAAGCCATCGTGGAAATTCAACAAATCATTCACAACGTAGACATTTCATGCAAACTGATACTAATAATACTAACAGTAATTGTGTGCTTTCAACTAGTACACGAAATACCATAATAACAAATGATCAAAATAATTGTTTACCATCGGAGAATTCATCATCATTATTTCTTATACCTGGTGCATCATCACCTTGTAGAGCATCGAATCAAGTCAGAATATCATCAGCTAATGTTAACTCAGATTTTAATTTGATCAATGCTACTACTTCTACTACTACTACTACTACTACTACCACTACCAATACTAATACCAATTCAAAATCATGTAGTGCACATATACTGTGGACTTTAGATGTATGTTTTTCTCTATTCTTAGTCTATCATACCAATATACACATATTGTATGTAACTAAGTAATTATATCTGTTAACCATAGGCTATTTTGCACATATGTGATGTAAATAACTTTTAATTTATGACAATGCTGAATTATTGTCATATGGAGACACGAGAGTTTTTGGGATATTTCCCTCTTTATCTGTCATTTGCATTCTAAATTGCACTGAAATTCATCGCTGTAATAATATAATAATAATATATTCTGGAAATAATAATTACAGAGTTCATGCCAGTTTACAGGTATGATCAGCTTGATATTTATAGTAATATTGAATGTAGAGGACAGATATGTGATATCAGGTTGTTCAGGTTCAAAATGTTATCTAGATAGTACAGTTTTCGCACATATTACAACAATCAACCCCAAATGCCGTGGTACAGCCGAGAGTGGAGACAGTCAGCTCTTCCTCTCGAAATGCTCTCACATGGCCACGTGCATACAACCACTGCCAGAGAAGTTCTTCTCACTACCATCTCGCGGCGGGGTTGTTTTTTACGAAATTGAGAGGACGAAAACTGAATGTCCGGCGCTTTAACCGGGTTGGTGGACACAGAGAGTTCGCCTAAGGGAGTTGGAAAACCCTGATTATAAACCAATGGTGCACACGAGCCCCAGTATCCTGAGGGACTAAATGGCGTATGAATCAACCAAGGGATTGCATCTCCTGACGTCGCTCCACGGCCTTGCGGATTAGACTTTCAGATCAAAAGCTGCAGGTGTGGCTCTCTAGGAAAACCACTTGCTTCGGTTTGAGCACCCGGGCAATATTCTAGCCCCCTCACACAAATCGGATGATTTATGTAGCGGATATATATTTGGTGCCTCCTTGTACCAACGTTTACGTGTTGAAATAAATACATATAATAAATTACAGCAATAAAAAGCTTCAGCGGGGATTTTAATTATTTTTAGTTAGACATCTTGTTGATGTATGATTGGCGGATTTCAGGTCATTTCCTGTGCCATCACGAACTGATTATAATCATCTACAACTAGAGCGTGCAGCAACGCATTCGTGCATGGAGCATGCTATAATCCAATCTATGTCTCGCTAACAAGATGAATAGCATTTACTCAGTGTTTTCCAGAAAAAATATTATTCTTTGACATATTCCGTATCATTTTGATAATAATAATAATAATAATAATAATAATAATAATAATAATAATAATAATAATAATAATAATAATAGAATTGAAAATAATAATGAAACTTCGTTATATAATAAATATTAAGTTGAGAATTTCTTAATGTAATCAAGTATCTATTGTATTGTGTAAAGTGATTTTCTTAATCAAATGTATTTTACTGTTTGTATTTACTGTGATAAATTCTCTTTATGATTGGTGATTTTGTTTAATTCCAGTTAAATACATTAAACACGAAATTAACAGAATGAATAATTAAAACGATTTTGCTTATCAACTGAATGATTTCATAATTTTACATGTTTTATACTCTAATCAGATGTTAAACAACTAACTACTTGTGAATTGACTTTCTACGATGTTGTACTTTTGCTTCAAACAGAGATAATTGTGAATTGTATTGTTATTATTTTTAATCATAACTGGTCTCTGCAATAAGCACAATACGGTAACTTGGTTAAGCGATAAAAGTTATTAGGTAGCAAAAGAAAATGTTTCTAAAGCAAGTTATTTATTATGTATTCAGATTATTATTGATAGAGCAGCCGGTTAGTCGGTCAAGACATCCGACTTTTAGCTTCTTAGTCCCTGTTTCGAACTCTGTACCAGCTACTTGGGTTTACGGAACCGGGTATCATCATTATTCCTCACACGTAACGTAGGATTCTTAACCAAGTGATTATAGAATTAGTTAACTCAGTTGTAATTCAAGAAACACCGTTGAAATTTAATAACCATATTTTTTCTATACTTTTAAAATAGGCTTATTTAGAGTAGTGAACTTGAAAATCGAGTTAAATATAATCTCATTGATCTTGAAATAAAAGGTAACGTATTTGAAATCTTATTTTTGTCTTTTTGTTTTATTGATCCATCTATAGGTCGCCAGTAGTTTAGGTCCGTTGGCTGTGAATGAATATTGTGATTTAGTTTTACAATGTGTCAATTGTCCTTTGTTAATGGAACAAATCACTTCGAAAGTTATTGACTATTTTGAAAAATATACAAAAACACATGCACCATCTTGTAGCGTTAATAATGGCAGAGGCAGCCTAGCCAATATGCAACAAACCTACGTCGATGTTTCCTCACCAAATAGAGTCATTTCTGATAACAGTGATAAAAATTTAAACTTTTGTTCAAATATATCTCAAAATTTTGTCAATCAATCTCATATGCCTAATCAGTTATGGACGACTTCATTGGCCTCTGTTATTCCTGCATCTAATTGGACAACCAATTCCAATCCCCATAATCTGCACGATGTTGTTCATCCTCTGATTTCTTTACCTTTTCCTCATTCTGATCCCAATAACATAAATTCCACGTTTAATTATCATTCTTTCATACCACCATCAATACTTCCACCGAATAATCCATCTTGGTCACATTCGTCTGTACGACCTGTCAGTTATCCTATACTACGACAGAATTTATGTTCTAAACAATTACAGGAAAACATTTGTCGTTTTAAACAAATGAATTTAAATTCTGAGTCAAATATAAATGCTAGTCCGTACATTCTTTCCAACAATAAACCAAATAATTTAAATGTTGGTTTAAATCAATTACCTTTTTATAATCAGCAGGCAAATTTATGGCCAATCAACCCACTGTCTTATATTCGTCCTGTTCCTGCTCCTCCACCCCATACAGTAGCACCTAGTCCTCTGACACATCATCATCAAAATGACTTGTATCTGAATTCGGTGATGACAACAACAACGGGAACACTAGGAATTCATCATGACAGTTACACCACAATAGATGAATCAATAAAACCAAAATCAGTTGAATTTAGCGGTAGAGATGTAGTAGAAAATTTGATTAATCATACACACACATTGTAAGTTGTTTTTTTAAGAATATTCTCTAATCAAAGAAAATGATTACTAATGAATGATCAATGTCTATATCATTAATACTGCGTCTCAGGGTAGGCGCATATATATATATATAAGTCAGACTTATATTTATTTAAAAAGAAGCGAACTGTAATATGCTGTTAAAATATGCAACCGTTTCAAAATAGTATGCATTTAGTATGGTATAGTTGACGTGTACCTGCTAACCCTGTGATCAGGGCCTAAAACTAAATAACGGAAATCGTTAGAACAATTAAAACGTACTTTTTTTAAAGAAAACGTATTCGAAGGTGAAATAAAATCAATATATAAAGTATGTTATTGTGAAGTAGCACATTTAGAACAGAAGAAGTCATATGCTGCTCAAAGACTTATTGTTTTGTTTTAGCCTACAGAATAATGATCTTAATGAGAAGGTGTGTTTAACACTGAAAGATATATGAAATAGATCAAGGTAGTTATATTTTCTAGAAAACGCTGAAATCAAATTACCGAGAAAAACATTGGACTGGCTGAGCCTTTACAAATATAATTTTTTTCCTAATGGTTCAAGTTATCTTCGTAAATTTATCTAAAATAGATTTCTTGCCACGAGCTCTAGTGTTTATGCTTACTAAGAGGACTTTACAAATAAGCATTAGAATTGTTGCATTTTTTCCAAGTCTTTTTAGAACGTATTTACTACTACATTCATCATATCACATCTAAATCAAAGAAACATATTGCACGATCTAGTGTATGAATATAAATTAACACATTTTAAAATCAAATGTTAACTGTTTAATTCCATGAATTGCAACTCACTAATGAACCGTAATACGTGACATACTAAACATCGTGATAATAAAAATCTTCTTTTGTTGTTGAATCAAGTGCACAGTAGGTTTGAATCTATAATCTAATACTTTATAATTGTGTGTGCCTTTATCGTTCAACAACTAAATATGCCTACCAAAGAATAACTGTTGTAAACAGACAATAACTGCTTTTTTCCGTATTTTTGATCTTTTTTGTTAAATTGTTCATTGATTTTTTAATTCATTTTTGTTTGTGGGGACAACTATCCTTCTTTCAGTGTTCAATAAAAATACAGTGTTTAGCATTTTCCGACCATTTCTCAGTTCATTTAGACGGTGAGTGCTGTACTTAAGGGCGTCCTTTTTTACAGGGAGTTCATTCCAATCATCTAAAACTATATATATATGTCTTCTACTGTGGTGCCGGATAGAAAAAACAAATAAAGTCAAGGTTAGAGCTTGAAATGATATCCTCAAGTAAAAATTATATTCTGACATCCAGCATTCACATATTAAATGAATGGAAAAATGTCCCGAAAATACTTACTGTTGCAAGTACTTTTAGGTTTTCGCTTATATTAACATTTATTTATTCATCATTTGTTACAACTGTTTTCATTACACTTTATTTCCTAGATTTCAAAAATATATTGATCAAAGACTTCAGTATATTGGACAAAGTCAAGCTGAATGGGATGAATTCGTTGATTTAATTTTAAAAGCGTATAATGTTCACTTAAGTATGCCCGCTATTGATTGCGGTTTACATTGGAATAACTTACTGACACGTATTCGTCGTCATCAAAAGTGTAGTCCAGCTTTGTGGCAGCGTATTTTAGCTGGTATACAAACCGCTGATTTAAAAAGATCAACTTAAATTCTTTTCAATCTTTTTTCGTTTTAATTGTTCGTTGTCCTTTGCTCATGATTTTCTTTCTCATTGACAGTTGTTATTTATATTCATTGTGTGTATGTGTTGACATCTTTTTCGTTATCGTAATCACATAATTTTGTTTACATCTTGTCCAGGATACATTTATTCCATAACTCTTTGTGTATCTCTGTGTTTTAATTCATGTACTCAGTACTCTCAGTTGTTGTTAACATATCTAAAACAGTTATCTTCATTAGTTATTTTCATCATACTTTTCAATTTAGTAAAAACGCACGTACTCAATATAATTTGATTGTAAAACAGACAAAACAGTTGGGTTGATTTAATATGTAAACATGAAAAACAATCCTCTATTCATACACACATTCATCCTCACATACTTATCCTTAATGATAGTAATAATAATGATTATTATAATTATAATTATTATTATTGTCATTGTTATTATCATCATACTATCTTCCCATCGACATTGTATCTGCACACGTATACATATATGTATATGCATATCAGTTTATATTTCATCAGTTTCATCTTCATTTTGAACAGTTATAAAATGTTACGTTACAAGCATTTTCTGCCAAAAAGTTCTGCCTTTTTTGTTAGTCTACGTTAAGCTAAAAGTATGCAAACATAAAATAAATTAGACTAATTGTCATTGGAAACAGAAAAAAGCAAACATGGTCACTTATCCTAATTGTTTTCTTCTTGTTGGTTGTTTCTATTGTGTTTGCGTATCAGCACATTCACGCACATAATCTTTTTTTATATTTGTCAGTGTATTCAGGGTTTCTTTGGGGGGGAGACGACATATCACCCCTCATCCTCTGTATGTATATTCGTATAGTTCATATCTCTATGCTTTAAATCGGTTGTAAATGTAATTTTCATCGTCGTCGTCATTGTTATTATTATTACCATTATTTTTATCGCTATTTTTAGCATATATTACTTGCATTTGCTCGGCAAACTGTTATTACAAAAATCACTACTTTTTTAGAAAAATCGTTACATTGCTTCGTTTTGTTTTTCTTCCAAAGGAAAAAAAACAGTCAATGGTTTTCATTTCGATATGATGTGATGCTTCTCTGTCTCCCTTTTTCTTTTAACTTTTATGAATAAATAGGAGAATAAATGATTTCTTGGTCAGCAAAATAATTTTCAGTGAATAAAATAGTTCAACTTTCCTTTTTTGTTTTTCTCTCCATATTTTCTGTTGCAAATTTTTTATAGTTTTTTCTCTGTCTCATGTTTCTCTAAAGAGCAAAGTGTAAACAGTATTGGACGTGATAATTCTTACATTTCAGCATTGAAACACTGTAATAGTTGCTTGTTTTAATGATTATTATTATCATAGAACATGCAGATACTGCTAGATAGACAATGTGTCGTACTGAATCAATTTGTTTTGTCCATTTTAACACAATGATTTAGATGTAAATCAATCTCTGTAAATGCAAAGTGGTATATTAAGATAAATGGTGTACAACAATTAACTCGTGATAGGTATTGAAAGTTGAGAATTAGATGAAAGTTTTAATAAAGCCATTCCAAAGGTATCATTTTTCTTTATTTGCATGAATACAGAGCCTTTGAATAAAAAATACTGACGTGTTAGGAGTTAGAAAATGTTAATACAAAGAAGATATATGACTATTTGTTCAGATTTTCTTAAAAAAGATAAGTTTTTACAAAAACAAGTTGTAATTACAATGGTTTGTACTAAATATATTGCACGACTTGTGCTTTATAACAAATTTACTGAAAAAGTACTATCAGATGACTTTATATTTTTGAGTCATGTCTTTGGTTTGGAATAATACGAGTCATATATCAAGTTGTGTTAAGGCGTATCTAGACACATTTTCCACTGTAATATGTGACAATCACAACTCATGTAAGGATTCAGAACAGTGTTTTCTAACCGAAGGAAATATTTTTCAGAAGTGTTAGATCCTCTGAGCTGGATGATATAATTGCGGAGCTCCCATTGTCATCCTGGACAACATGATCAGTACTCACCATATAATTATGTTTCTTATTTTTTTGATTTTTTTGGTCTTGTGATTACTTGTCGTTGTAGGTTTCATCATCTTGGTGTTCAGATCGATCAGTCCATTCCAAAAAAGTAAATTGACATATATCCAGAGTTTAACGGAGCAAGAAAGTTAATTTAAATGCAAGGGCAAACGATAAAACTGATTGCTAATCACAAAGAAAGCCACCAGAGCAAATTAATTTAAAGCTCGCGGAATAATCAAGAAGCCCATTTACACATGAAGTAAATGCTGATCTCGTTGTCCAGACTAACAATAAACACTTCAGAAATCAATCTAGTTCAGAATATCTAATAATATTCAAGTATTCACTCAATCTGCGAATCTTCATCATTTGAATGAACTATTGATAGTATGCTGACTTCCTGACACAAATGTTTGCTGTGTAGTGTAAAAATGGAATGTATGTTTTCATTTCCAATTATTATTGTTGGAAATAATTTTCATTAAATAGACTTGATATGCAGATATATGGTTTCTCCTGTCTTTTATTGTATCAGAATTGTTCCTAAAATGTCAGCAGTTTCATCGCTGTGTTTATCAGTAACTACATTATATCAAAATGTGTTTATTATTCCCGTGCGAATATTCAGAATAATATATTTTATCAAGGGCTATGGGATTTAGTTAGAGTATTCCCCATGATGACTGCTAATTTCTGATTAAATGCATTCATTTTGAAATCTTATGGACGAAGAAAATTTCCCTAATCCCCACGTTTCACAATTTTGTTGCTTCAAGATCTTTCCTGAATGCACAATTCATCTACTGAACTACATTTAATAGATGAATTTGATACTTTGCAACTTCTTAGTGGCGTTTCAGATTATTTGTGTTTATACATTAGTTATAGTTTGGAAAACTTATTTGGTTAAGTCATTTATGGTGAAGGACATGCAGAATAATGTTGTGGAGTTGACAAAATATTTGGACAGGCCATCGTTCGTTTGTTCATTACGCCTGTTACTCCACGTGGAGGAGTATAGGTCGCTCACCAGCATTCTCCATCCAACTCTGTCATGAGCAATCCTTCTCATATTTGCTTCTAATTCCTGACGCAGTGTTTTTTTGGCCGTCCTCTTTTCCGTCTCCCTTAGGGATTCCAATTCCCTATGATGCAGTTTGTAAAACAAACGTATCTAACTGTTTCTTAAATTTACAAATAAACTTTCAGATTTTCTACGATTGGAAATGATAGAGATTTTTCACTGGCACGTACTTGTGCTACTGATCGGATTCTTTACAGGAAAATGGTGGTGGGAAGTAAACATTAAGGAAAACGTATTTGCTGTATGGTTGCGGGTAATATATCCTTCAAGGGAGCACTATAGCTGCAAAACGAAAGTCCGTCCTTGCAATATAGCCTCCCGAAGACGTAAAAATTCAAATGAGGTGAAGGTGCATCGATATAAATCTACTGCCAAGTAATTCCTAAGGCTTCGTCAAAACAAACGGGTTTGAAAACAAAACCTCTGGCGTAGCCTATCAAAAAGAAGTCTATAGGTCACAACAAACCCTGGGCGATTTAAAACGTTTCAGGTCACCAATATTTATAGTCGGTAGGTAGTTCCAGACACCATCATAGCCATTCGGATAAACCTTATTTACTGATAGAAATAATGCCGTAAATAACTTAACCGTAAGTAAGGTAATTGTCGGGGATGCCAGATCCATAAAAATAACTTAGTAGACACTCATTTTTGTAATTTAGTTTGTGTTGCCCACCATGAATAATCATAAATCTCTGATCCGTTTTCTCTTTAAGTAAGCTATTTTGTGACCTTTTCCAAGGACATATCTTTGCTGCATGTACACGCATGAGTTGTTTGTTTGTGCTTTCGGCTGAATTTGGTCCTCCGTTTAGTTAGTAGGGTTTAAGGGCACTGAAATAAATGAGCCTGTCCTCTTGTTTTGTTGCTGGTTTTCGTTCAGTTCACCGGTTTAGGAGATCTCGTAATCTCTTCAGACGTACCAGGGGCTATGAGGCTGGTGCAAGCATGTATCCTGCAAAAGTGGAGTTATTGCTGGAGGATCAGGTGGAACTTTTGCAAACATTGGTAGATACGAAAACGATGCCTATCTAGCAGTCTAGTCCTACTACTGCACCGTCAGTTGATGGCATCGCAAACAGCATTGCCGAATCTCATTGCTATCATGATGATTATGTTACATTTGAAATGTGGTTCTGGCGTTATTAGGATATGTTAAAACTTGACTTTTCCAATAAACGTTATATTTAGAAGGTTTAATTGCTACTTCAAAAATTGAATCCATTTGATTTAGATAGGCACTGCCACTTGATTTTGGCTCTGAACCTACGTGACCTCTCATTCTCAGGCACTGTACAGTCATTAAGCCAATAGCTCGTAGATAATTCTTTACTGTTTAATCACACGTTGTCGATGTTTGGCGATGATTATGGACGAAGACGCTGACTTTCTTACGCATATGGCGATTGTTAACCGAAAAAGTGGACGCTTCCGGCTGGAGTCCCTGACTGAAGATCAGTTTAAATCCCCCATCTTCAGTCTTTAATCACAAAAGCTTACTGATATTAGGACGCGGTCACTGTGTCGATTGAACCAGGTAACTAAACGGACTGTCGTTGATATTTCAAATAAACATCAACGTCTAAATTATCTTTAACGTCATACTACGATGGTTCACTTTGGTGATTTCGATCTTCGGAAGGTTCATGAAGTCCAGCAACCATCCAACCCGACCAAATGTTTGCCAGTTGTTCCCGACCTATCTCATCTGAGTACAGTTCAACGAACAATGACTAGTCCTCTAGCTCTTTGCTGTCACTTTGGAGAGTGGCGTTTTGTACGAGCCTGTCCAAACGAAATCCTTGCAGGGAATTTAAATATAGTGGTCAAAAATATGGAATCTGTCAAAGGGAAAACTAAACCGATTCAGAAATAT